GGTGTGGTGTGTGTGTGTGTGTGGTGTGTGTGTGTGTGTGTGTGTGTGTGTGTGTGTGGTGTGTGTGTGGTGTGTGTGTGGTGTGTGGTGTGTGTGTGTGGTGTGTGGTGTGTGTGTGTTGTGTGTGTTGTGTGTGTGTTGTGTGTGTTGTGTGTGTTGTGTGTGTGTGTGTGTGTGTGTGTGTGTGTGTGTTGTGTGTGTTGTGTGTGTTGTGTGTGTGTGGTGTGTGGTGTGTGGTGTGTGGTGTGTTGTGTGTGTGTGTGTGTGTGTGTGTGTGTGTGTGTGTGTGTGTGTGTTGTGTGTGTTGTGTGTGTTGTGTGTGTTGTGTGTGGTGTGTGTGGTGTGTGTGTGTGTGTGTGTGTGTGTGTGTGTGTGTGTGTGTGTGGTGTGTGTGTGTGTGTGTGTGTGTGTGTGTGTGTGTGGTGTGTGGTGTGTGTGTGTGTGTGTGTGTGTGTGTGTGGTGTGTGGTGTGTGTGTGTGTGTGTGGTGTGTGGTGTGTGTGTGTGTGTGTGTGTGTGTGTTGTGTGTGTGTGTGTGTGTTGTGTGTGTTGTGTGTGTTGTGTGTGGTGTGTGTGGTGTGTGTGGTGTGTGTGTGTGTGTGTGTGTGTGTGTGTGTGTGTGTGTGTGTGGTGTGTGTGTGTGTGTGTGTGTGTGTGTGTGTGTGTGTGGTGTGTGTGTGTGTGGTGTGTGTGTGTGTGGTGTGTGTGTGTGTGGTGTGTGTGTGTGTGTGTGTGTGTGTGTGTGTGTGTGTGTGTGTGTGTGTGTGTGTGTGTGTGTGTGTGTGTGTGTGTGTGTGTGTGGTGTGTGTGTGTGTGTGTGTGTGTGTGGTGTGTGGTGTGTGTGTGTGTGTGTGTGTGTGTGTGTGTGTGTGTGGTGTGTGGTGTGTGTGTGTGTGTGTGTGTTGTGTGTGTGTGTGTGTGTTGTGTGTGTTGTGTGTGGTGTGTGTGGTGTGTGTGTGTGTGTGTGTGTGTGTGTGTGTGTGTGTGTGTGTGTGTGTGTGTGTGTGTGTGTGTGTGTGTGTGTGTGTGTGTGTGTGTGTGTAATAATGAAATACCCGCAGGCTGGTTGTGACATTAGTCTATCTGGAGCTCAGGATTTAACAGTCTGGTGCAGTCTCACTGCAACACCGTTCTCTAAACGTTCGTCTCTGATCAAACACGGAGGAAGAAAATGACTCCCGGTTCAAAATCCAGAAAGATCAAACTTCAAATGTGTTCATCTTAAAGACCTGTCGTCTTTAACTATTTGTTTTTATTTTAAATATCAAAAGAGTTTCAAACACATTTCCTGGTGGATGTTGGCTCTGCTGAACTAACAAAAAAACTAAGAGATGAGTAGCGGACACAACGCTGGAAAACAGCAAAGCAGCAGGAATCATCCGAGTCGGAGCCGGTACTGTTGACCTCTGGCCTAAATAAGCACAAGTGAATGGAGGTCAGGAATGTGGGGCTCCTAAGCTAATTGTAAGAATATCTGAGTTGATGTATTGTGTACTCGCACAGTGTTCTGGAAACTCAAGCCTCATCCTGACTGACCACAAGTTCCCCTCTCAAAGCGGTGATAGATCCACGGACCCTGCGGTGACGGGCAGCTGGCAGATTCCTGCAGGCCGAGCATCTTCCAGACTGAGCAGCAGGGTCACTGTAATGTTTTCATACGGATGCAAAACTCTAACAGTGGGTTTACAATGACACATTTCTGTTAGAAACAAACATTCTGGGATTTCTGCATCTGCAGCTCACTGTCAGAGCTGGATTTTCAGAATGACTGCAAAGTAAAGGGAAGCTAAAGAGAAGCTGTTTCACATTCACTTTGGTTCATTTTAAGAGGTACAAAACAGACCCTGTCCAGCGGAAATGTGTCCCACATTGATTAGTTCCTACAATTTGCTCTCGTCAGTATTCACCACACGTTTATTCCAAACCATTAAACACTGCTTTTAGCTTTTCACAAACTGAAGTTTCCAGGGCCCTGAGGGTTCTGCAGCCTCTCTGGTACAGTTTACTCTTTTGAACTTTTCTACTGACTGAACTGGAATCAGCATATTCTGGGACCTTAATGCACATCCATGGATCTTTGTGAAGCTCTGCTCCAATAATGAACAAACACGTTTAACAAAAAAGCAGAAGAATTTTAACATTTCATTAACTGATCAACATTTCGTTTTTCACATCAAAAACACTTTCAATATTTTCTCTAATCAATTAGATTTCTGAGTTGTGCTGGTAAATTTAACCTGCAAAACCTGGCCAACTGCTGAATGACTTTAGAAAGCGTGTCTGCACAGCTAACCTTCTGCAAACATCTGATGAGAAGAACTACAACAATCTGCCTTTCTCAGAAGACACCAATTAGCAGCCGTGCTACTCTGTGGAATTTGGAGTAAACGTCTGACCTGCTGCTTCACTCGTTCACTGCCAATGACGACTCAAGTCATTTTAGATCCAACCGCTCATTTGCATGTTTTTATCGTGTGGGCGTCGGACGAGCCCCCGCGCCGAGAGAACAAACATCTCAGCTCTGAAGCCGAGCTTCATCCGCGTACGTCACACGTCACGTGATCAGGAAGCAGAACATCCACGTGTTAGGAGATCGTTTTTAGGCCGCTGCTGTAGTGTTGTCAAAAAAATCGATACCCAGATATAAATCGATACTAAAAGTGGTATCTAAATGAGATATTCCATCCCTGTGGTATCGATATTATGGACTATTATACACAGCCTTCTTCAAGTACACCGACACGCACGACAGCCAGATGCCGTAAAGCAGCCTCCGCCTCCCAGACAAACAGAAGAAGATGCCGCATGGCTACAAAGCAATTTCCCATGCGAGTTGTCTCTGATCCAAGTTTTGTCTGCCAAATAAATAAACAAAAACATAAACAGCGAATTTGGGAGGCGCTTCACAGCCCAACTTAATTAGCATACCAAGTCCGACACGTAGTTGTATATTCACGCTTATGTGCTTAAAGGAAACTCCCGTTTATTGCAACCCGGACTTAATTTCTAGCATGCAGTAGGTTTGTTTACTCACGCTGACAACTTTGGTGCTACTTGGATTCCCCGGGGTATTTACCGTAGATCCATCGGCGAATCGCCGTCAGCGTATATCCATATAACGGGTGCGGACGGGCACCCATGTGCAGCCTCGAAATAAGACATTATCTGCACCAAAACATCTTCATGTCGAAAGGTTTTGTTAGGAATCATTAACGTGATTCCCCTGTTCGTTTGGAGCGGGTCTGGTCTGGGATTTCTAGGCGTAAACAGACTAGCTGCGGCTAATCTAACCGGCGCTTTTAATGACGTCACTGCCGTGCGCCAATCTGTTTTTATTAAGATTACTGGTAGATGTACCTTTGTCCTACTGTGGAGAAATTCGTTTTCTCCCTTTATTGACCAACAGAGTTGTTCAAAAGTACAGAACAAAACATATGGCATTACATCTTATGACAAAAATGCACCTTAAACAGAGTTTAAGCAGCAAAACATCACTCTGCAAATAGTGTATATATAGTGAGACAATTCATGATTTAAAGTGTTTTTGTATGCACGTTTTAAAAAATGCTGATACTTGAAAGGTTTAAGCACTTTACACACTTAATTCTTAACATTTAATTTTTGCAATATAAATTGAGGAATGTTATTTTTTGAATAAACTTGTTCAATAAATTGGTGTTTTTAAATAGTATCAAAATCGAGTATCGAGTTTTTTTCCCCAGTATCGAATCGAGTTTGAAATTTTAGTATCGTGACAACCCTACGCTGCTGTAAAAAAAGTGAGGCGCGAACCGGAAAAGCTTCTGCCGATCACAATTCAACAACGGATTACGAAAGAACGGAAAACGCTCGAAACGCGCGGATTCTTCCTGATGTAAGAGGTGAGTCTCCGCTTTGTTTTGGCGTCGACATCATCCTAGCGCGCAACGTTCTGTCACTCTTAAAAAAACAGTAAAAACGGTGAGAAACGCTGGCAGCGAATGAGTTAAAATAAAGTGTAATTTAGGGAACTTTCATTTTAAGCAAATCAACAAGACTGCTTGCTTCATGCCAGAAGGCCAAGATGAAGGACTGGATTCAACAAAGTAGCAGTTGTAGTTTTTACTAAAGCGAAACAAACCCGCTTTAATGAAACTAAATCAGAATAAGGACAAGTTCAGCAACTTTTCTTTTGCACACGTGACGAGCATTTACCTAAAATGTTATGTGCACTTTCAAAATGCACACGGATGGAAGTTTGACTAATGTCCATTTCTATTAAACACATCTTTATTTCTCAGAATATCTCCATAAAACCCCCAACTTTCCATTAGTTATTTGTGTATTTACCTGATGAATATCATTCGGTAAGCCAGATTATATTTTCTTTGCGAGTTTAAAATGTATTTGGCCATAAATAGAATCATCCACAGCCAATCAGATTACAATCATTGATGTCAAAGATAAAACGTAAAAACAGAGAAGCCCTTTATTATTTTATGGGCTTTTTGGTGCATTTACACAAAAACAAATCTCATCTGGTCACGTTTGCTGCGGCCTCTTATCTCCAACAAGCCCGTCGTTCAAACATCCAGAGTGAAATGTATCTGGTCCTGACCACAACTCTGGTTGCACTCGTGTTTACACCAACCAAAGGCTTTGTGTTGATTTGATTTGATTTAAGCTCACTTCTGCTGCTCATAGATCAACAGACCGTGTTTGTTTGGGTCTGAATTCTAACGTGTAAAGCAAACACGCCTGGCTTTGGGAAGCTGCAAACGAGATGAACGTGTGTGACAGCTATTCATGAAGGATCAGCTGACTTACGTCACACTGGTAACTTGTTGAGTTTGGAATATTTTATTATAGTTTGTAGCTGAATTGTTATTTGAGGCATACCTTTAGTGTTTAAAGAGTAACTGAAGTGACACTGATGCCAGCGCATGGATGTGACAGGGATAGGTGTGCAGTCGGACCTCTGGAGGCCTTTTCAAAACCGCGCTCTCGCGTTGGCCAACTCACCCTCCAGCGTCACCTCTTTCCCCGCCTTCTTGAGCGCCTGGACCGCCATGTCATGCGTTGCCTCCCGGAGCTCGGTCCCGTTCACCGACAGGATTGCGTCGCCCACCCGGAGAGCCCGGCTCTGGTCTGCAGCGAGTCCAGGGAAGATCTTGGAGATGAGGATGGGCATCCGGTTCTCGCGCCCCCCTTTGATACTGATCCCCAGCCCGCCAGACTCTTGTTTAACTACTCGGACTTTACGCACAGCTTCGGAGGACCCGTCCAGGCTGACCGGGAAATCGCCTTGTCTCGACCCAAAGCTTGACCCTGGACTACCGTAACTAGAGCCGGGGCTTCCGAAGTCAGAGTTTGTGCCGTTAATCGGGTACTTTCCAGGGCTGTACTGGCCGCGGTTGACGCCTCCTCGACCCGGGCTGCTACTGCGCCCTCGCACCCCGTGGTTCTGAAGCTGGTCTTGACCTGAGGACGAACGGCGGCCAGGGATCCCCACACTCGTTCCCGGATCATTTCCGTTCGACATGCCATTTCGCAGGCCAGCCGAAGAGCAGTCCCAGTGGTTGCCCGCCTGTCCGGTCACCTCTGATTCGGCTGTTAGAGTCAGCGTCTCCCGTGTGAGTTCTGCAGCCACTCGGATCCAGCGGTCCCGAAGCAGAAGGTCCAGCTGACCATTTTTATCCGCTCTGGTCCAAATTGCCATTCCTGGACTGTCGTTAGCCTGCTCCGAGGCGGGCCGCCGCTACTCTAAACTCATCGTCAACTTTTTCCTCTCTTTTTTTGTGAGTGCGCACAAGCGGCAGCACTGGCTCGCATCGACACACCCACTCCCGCCGAGGAGAGGGAGAGAGGGGGGAGAAACACGGGACTCCCACAAAACAGGGGGAGGAGGAGAAGCGGCTGCTACGGGGCAGCCTCGGAGGTCTTGCTGAGGAGTTCAATCCGATTCCGTAAAGCTGTCCAACCTCACCGGAAAGCTAGCATAGCTACAACAAAGACACATCCGTTTAGGCCTTTCAAAATAAAACAATGTAGCCCATATTACACTCTCGATGTGTGTGTGTGTGTGTGTGTGTGTGTGTGTGTGTGTGTGTGTGTGTGTGTGTGTGTGTGTGTGTGTGTGTGTGTGTGTGTGTGTTATCATGATTTGTGGTCCTGTGTGTAATAGGTGTAATATGAGCAAGAATATTTTATTTAGAATAAATTGTTTTGCTAGTGGTTTATAAACGCAATTACTAATATACGGAATGCATCAAGGGCGTAGGAACCGGGGGTGGGGGGTGGGGGGGGGACGTGTCCCCTCCAATATTGGACAAACGCGCATTTGTCCCCCCCAATAACACGGAGAAGAAAAAAATTGATTTTGAAATATTTGACTCGTGAGCTTTTATTTTGAAAGACGCTGCAGACTTCTCACTGACACAGCCCCTCCCCTCAGGGAGTTAGACAGGAGCGGGACCTGGACGACAACAGCTTCTTCTCATGGGCAATAAGAGAAAGAAAGGAATTGTGACTCGGTAATAATTTAGTCCAAGAGGATAATTGTATTTCTGGTCAAACGTTAGACTGGCTGACTAACGTAAACATCTTGCTAGGCAGCATTAAACGTTAAACAACACTACTAGTCAACAAAAAATGGCGAATTTAACACGATTTTACAGTAACAGACAAAAACCATTTGACACGAAATAAATAAAGTAGAATCTCCACATAAAAATGGAGTTTGTAAATGTGATTGTTGCTTGTTTGTGACATTCTCATCACATTTTATTTTTAAACCTTATTCATGTCACTTTTTTCATATGAGAGACCAGAGGAAGTTCAGCAGCAAAATGATGAAGAAGGTGAGACAGGCAGTGCCAGACCTGCTGAGGGTGAGACAGGCAGAGCCATACCTGCTGAGGGTGAGACAGGCAGCGCCAGTCCTGCTGAGGGTGAGACAGGCAGTGCCAGACCTGCTGAGGGTGAGACAGGCAGAGCCATACCTGCTGAGGGTGAGACAGGCAGCGCCAGTCCTGCTGAGGGTGAGACGGGGAGAGCCATACCTGCTGAGGGTGAGACAGGGAGAGTCATACCTGCTGAGGGTGAGACAGGGAGCACCAGACCTGCTGAGGGTGAGACGGGGAGAGCCATACCTGCTGAGGGTGAGACAGGGAGAGTCATACCTGCTGAGGGTGAGACAGGGAGCACCAGACCTGCTGAGGGTGAGACAGGGAGAGCCATACCTGCTGAGGGTGAGACAGGGAGAGCCATAACTGCTGAGGGTGAGACAGGGAGAGCCATACCTGCTGAGGGTGAGACAGGGAGCACCAGACCTGCTGAGGGTGAGACAGGGAGAGCCATACCTGCTGAGGGTGAGACAGGGAGCACCAGACCTGCTGAGGTGCAGGTAGGTGCTACAATGAAGAGTGAGATTTTAGATGGTTGATGATGAGAGGAAGATTCGAGCATGATAACAAGTGAACACGACTAAATAACACTATAACAACCATGATTTTAATGTTGCACTAGTCCTCCAACAGTAATGGCCACTGTTTTTTCTTTTGTCCGTCAGATGATGAATGTAGTTCCAGCTGCTGTTGTGAGTGAATTATTTCTTTTTCATTCTGTCAGAAGCAAACAGATTGTTCTGATTGTTGGTCAGCACTGTTGGCTGATGTAGTTTAAAATATTCTTCACTTCAGACTGAATATTCACAGCTTTAGTCTTGTATTAAACCTGTTTACACATCTCTACCCATATGAATAAGATAATATATCCTACATTCATACTATTAAATAAAAATAAAACAGTACTGACACATAAACAGCTTTTTTATAATTAAAACATCCACGTTGGCCGGTAATCACCTGGATCTGGCTAATGGGGAGCCCAAGTCTCCTCCCCTTCTGGCTGGCTCATGGGTCCCCGATCAAAAAAACAACCCAGAAAGTTAGTGAACTGGGCTATAAAAGTCATTTTCTTGTCTTTCTGGGCTTTGCCTTACGCCCAGAGTCACATCTGTCAGGCTTTTCTAATCCTAGAGTTTCACCGTCTATCAGATTTTCTATCAGAAGCTAATGCAGGAGATAGCGGTAGGAGACTATGTTCATGTTCAGCCTGCATGAAACACTCAGTGACACGTTAGAATCAGAAATAATCATTAAATGTATTTTTTTCAGTGAGGTTGACCTATTTATTGACCTACAACAGATTTGTTAGATTTCCAAAATGTGTCCCCCCCAATATTAAACTCGTTCCTACGCCCTTGGAATGCATGTTTTGTTCTATTCAAGCAGACTAACATCACTGCCATTAAATTACGTTTATCAACAAACTTACAAAATAAAAGTTTTGAGGAACCATAAAATGTAGGCTAATATTTCAAGTTCAAGTCACCCTCTTGTAATGATGACACAGTTTTAAAAACTTTTGAAATAAACCATGCAATTTCAGAGACATTTAAAGTGACAGTGTGTATTTTCCCTGGCTATAGGGGGCATTACATAGCTAAATCACTGTAAGCAAGCAGTATTTCTTTTGTTCATGTGAGATTGTTCAACTTCCAGCAAAATGGCAAGCGCATCCGACTCCCTTTCATCACTGCCGAGTGAAGTTTTGTAACTGCTCGTTAAAAATCTGTAAAATGTGTTTTGTCCTCATGTAGAAGGAGACATTGCTTCTCATACGGAGTCGCCCACAGACCCTCTTTCTTATGGTTATATCTATTATGAAACAGCCAGTATTTTTCAGCCACTGGGCATCATTTAATTAATTTTCAAAAACATTTGGATGAATATTTCTGGAGATTAATAGCAAAAATTACACATTGTCACCATTTACTGAGCTGAAGTTATCAGAGAACTAGGAAAATGGTAAATGGCCTGCATTTGATATAGCACCTTCTAGAGTCCTGGAACCCCCCAAGGCGCTTTACAACACAATCAGTCATTCACCCATTCACACACACATTCACACATTGGTGGGGGTGAGCTACGATGTAGCCACAGCTGCCCTGGGGCGCACTGACAGAGGCGAGGCTGCCGAGCACAGGCGCCACCGGTCCCTCCGACCACCACCAGCAGGCAAGGTGGGTTAAGTGTCTTGCTCAAGGACACAACGACAGCGACAGACTGAGCGGGGCTCGAACCTACAACCTTCTGATTATGGGGCGAGCGCTTAACTCCTGTGCCACCGTCGCCCCACAAGTAGTAAATCTTCATAATATTTAGGATTTTAGAGCTGAAGAATCAATGCAGTAAAACAAACTATATAATGAGGTTTGTGGTGTAATACAAATGGATACGTCATAATAACTGCAACAAGGATGTGTCCAGATCTGATTCCTGACATTTTAACTACATTTTTGTGCTTGTATTGTGAAAGTATAATCACCACATTTCCTGTTTCAGGCACATTACAATCCATAAGCTCAGAGCAGAGTGACAGGAGGCGACAGCCAATCAAAACGCTGCACTTATTATTTATTACTGAAAAGGGGTGGGGTGTCCACACAGCTATAATCAATCCTGCAGACTGAGAGCAAAGCGTTCTTAGGTTCTGACACTGTAGTCGCGTTATTGCTGGATTCTGCTGCCCACAGAGAACTTTCCCTTTCCATCAGCGCTGCCTTCAACCAGCGAGTCACACCGCAGCAGGAATGACATCCATCAAACCATTCATGCCAGAAACAGGTCCCTGTTGTTCTCCACTGATCTGCAAAAGTGTGTTTCCTTAATTTAACAAATGTGTTTGAACTGTTATTGAGACTTTCGTTGAGATAATCTTATGAAGTGGTAGGCTACAGGGTAGGCTACAGCAGTCAAAACTTACTTTCATTTTGGATTTTCCATTAATCAAACTCTTCATTCTTCAGATTTTCAGGATTATTTTGTTACCAAGCAGTTTTACTAAAGATGGAACTAATGAGTTTTAATATTTTTCATGAGGAAGTGGAACACATATTATGTGCTGCACGGTGGCACAGTGGTTAGCACTGCTGCCTCGCAGCATGAAGGTTGCAGGTTCGAAACTCGGCTCGGCTGCGGCCTTTCTGCGTGGAGTTGCGTGTTCTCCCCGTGCATGCATGGGTTTCCTCCGGGTACTCAGGTTTCCCCACAGATCACAACATGCCCTATAGGTTATAAATTGTAAGTCGCTTTGGATGAAAGCGTCTGCTAAATAAATAAACATAAACATAAATAAACATAAACACATTATTTCATGTACAAGAAAGAAAACAAATGCTCGTCACAAATTATGAAAGGCCTGTATTTGTATACCGCCTTCTTAGGGTTCTACAACCCCCCAAGGTGCTTCACAACACAGTCAGTCATTCACCCATTCTTACACACACACACACACACACACACACACACACACACACACACACACACACACACACACACACACACACACACACAAACACACACACACACACGGAGATAGCCACAGCTGCCCTAGGGCGCACTGACAGAGGCGAGGCCTGACGAACACTGGTGCAACCAGTCCCTACACCCACCACCAGCAGGCAAGGTGGGTTAAGTGTCTTGCCCAAGGACACAACAGCAGCATTCTCTGGTTGGAACCAGGATCAAACCTGCAACCTTCCAATAACTGGACAACCTGCTGTCCCAAAAAGCGGTGGTTAAAAACAAAGACGTTTTTAATGTGAACCCAATAAAACAGTAAAACTCGCAGATGCAGCTTTAGTTGTGTTTGTCTTTAGATTTTATTGCAGCCGAGGTTAAAATCGTGTTTACAAAACCAGAGCAGACTGCAAGCGTCCATGGGGCGTGAAGGAGGCGGGAGTTTCATTTGCTCACCTCTCACCAGTGATGTCATGCTTTGTGGGATAAAGGTGCAGCCTGCAGCTTCACCCCGTTACATTCACAGTGTCGTCACCATCATACCTCCTCCAGCAAGACCGGGCTGTGTGGGGGGTTTGTTAGCATTGCAAAGAAGGCTTCATTATGCAGCAGCAGGCATTCATCTCAATTCCCTTTCAGGTTGACTTTCCTCTATTAAAAAGTCGACATTTCGCTGCGTACAAGCGTATTTCTGTGACTTACATTCATGACAAAAACAAGGCAACCAATTGGAGGTCTGATGCTAAACACAAAGCTGCACAGCTCCAATGTCTTTCCAAGTCCCCCCCCCCACCCCTTCACTTCCAGTGCTCTCCTGATCTTCGTTCGACCCCACCCCAGCAGCTGTGTGTCGGTGAGTGAAGTCATAGTGCAGCAGATAAAGAAGATGCAGAAGGAGCTTCTTACTTAAACCTTTAGAAGTGAATAGGTCTCTGCGTGTGTGTGTGTGGGGGGGGGGGGGGGGGGGGAGTGGATGAAATGTGAGATGTAAGGTAATGCAGTTGTGGTCTCTCAGTTATAGAAAAGGATTCTTCGTAGCTCCGGGAACTGTATTTAGATCTAAACATGACACAGAAAACCTTAAATGATGCATTTAATGCTCCAACCCAGCAAAATAAACTTTTAAGCACCTTACTGGATTATAGATTTCAAAGCTGTTTATTTGAATCAGTCAGATAAATCTGAAACTTGTGTTGTCTAAGAACCCACAAGAACCACAAACCTACGTGTGCACACAGTGTGTTCAGTGCAAGGCAAAGTCTATCTAGTCCACACGCTGGTTCACAGTATTGATCGTCTAGGTGCGGTGGAGCTGCGCTGAAGAAGGGGATGGCGATGACGCGTGAAGCCGATGGTGCTGACGCTGAGGAGGACGTTGTACGGATGGGGAGGGATTTGGCTGAGGAAGAGCCTCGAAGTTGGACTGACGCTGCAGCTGTGGCTTCGGAGTGGCAACACCTTTGGCCTCCTTCTTGGGAGTGTTGTTGAGGATGTCCAGGCTCCGGCGGCTGGAGGAAATGACATCAGCCACAAACTTGGTGCATTCAGCACAGATGTCACGCAGCGTGCAGCCGTTGGCGTACAGATGTGGGAACTCTTCCTCCACTGAGCGACGGGACAACGTTCGCAGGGATCTGCAGGCAAATATTTTCAAGGAGTTTAAAACATTTTCTGTGATTAAACTGATGTTTTTCCTCATTGTAGCAGAACGGTGGCATCTTGGTGACAGGTGTTAGCAGGTAAACACCACAAGGAACCAGCGCGTGCTTTATTTCCCTCCAACTTGCTGTCAAGCATCTCTGCAAGGCCACGAGGAGTAAGGCCTGGGTAATTATTACATAATGGCTGCTGAGAGGTCCTGAAGAGGCGCTGCACAGATTATATAACAAAAGAACAACGGAGCGAGGGAGGAGGGGAGATGGTGGGGACTGGAGTGAGGAGAACGTCTCCAGCTTGAACAGAAATAAGAGTTTGTATCTGATGAAGCTGGAGAGAAAGGCTCAACAGAATAAAAAGTCTTAGCTGTTGCATTTGTCTTTGGATAGGACCCATTTGTTAGTTAACTGGGCGGACTGGGGAGGAGAAATGGGCCCACTGGGGCCATAAGTAGCTCAGTGGAGGGTTTTAGTTCTAAAAAGTTAAAGCTGTTTTAACAAACCTGCAAACGAGCTAGGTTTTGAATGCAAGTACGCTCGCAGAACACTCACCACCCACAACGCCAGATGAAACAAGATAGCGCTAAACACCAGTCGCTGTTTTCTAGGTCCAAACATATTTTGTTGTCTGTGACTTCAAATGGAGTTTTTCTTTTTAGGCAGTTTGTCCTAAAGCTGAAGCGGTAGCAGCCGGCTGTTTCTCCGTCTCTGATATTATTGAGCGGAGAACGTCCAACACCAGTGGTGTTCTGTTGCTGAATACGTGAGTGTGTGATGAGCGGAGGACCCAGGGAAGCGCGGCGGTTTGGTGAGACCGATAACTGAATGGTCCAATGGTTGCTTTTGGTCCGAAACAGGTTATTGTTGGAGGTTTAAATTATTATTATTATTAGTTTAATCTTCACAATATATTTAAAGCTAAAATATGTTAGAATGTTGTTAAAGAGCATGAAAAGAAGTTTTAAGCTAACTTGTTTTCCATATTTGTTGTAGCAGCTTTAACATTCTTAGTATGAAGCAAACTCCCAAATAGACTGAGAGTAAGGGCGTGAATGGCCAGCTCTTTTAACATTAACATATTTTTATTCATTCTCGAGAGAAACTGAAACAGGCACACAAAAAAAACCAGCAATAAATGCAATATTTTACTGAAGACATTTTAAGCAAATGGAATTGAGATATTTATCAGAAAAATAAAAAAAATAAGCGTTGGGATAAAATCCTATTACCAGATGAAAAGCCTTTGTTTTTGTTCTGTTTTTGTTATTATTGAACTGTTCTGCGTGGGTTCTCTTGAGGAAATCATAAAAAGTAGAAGGTTAGGGTTTTTTAGCTGCTTCTGCAGCGGAACACAAATTTTATTAAATCATTCACAATAAGAGTATGGAGCATATTAACCTTTAAAACAATAAAAGTTTAACCAGAGAACTGCAGTAATACATTATTTTTGTGTATGATTTGAGCTCCACCTTGCAAAAAGCAAAAATATTTTCATGCAAGTCTCTTTTTTTCTTCTTTTTTTCTTCTTTTTTTGGCCAATATGCTGTAGAAAAAATGTCTTAATGCCATCTCATTCACAAAAAGTAACAAATGAAGACTCACTTGTAGACTTGACTTTTGTGCCCGTGACTTTTTGGTGTGTTATGGAAGCCCACGGTGTAGACAGGAATATGGGCCATCTTCTTAGAGGGAATCTTCATCTGGAGGAGAGGAAGAGGATCAAAACAAATGAGAGAAAAGAGAGAAGAAACTCTCACAGGTTGATGTTTCGCAGATATTCTGAGGACTACTTCAAACACACAGGAGTTACACAGCAACAATGCAACACATTAAGCCTAAAACTACTCTACAGATATGCCACAGGACTGCAAATTTCAAAATAAAAGCAAACAAAATCCAAACCTACAGAGAACAGAACCAGACATCCAACACTGGCTGGGACTGAAGCAACAAATCAAAACCAACAAAGGCAAAAACAAAAATAAAGTCAACAGATAATCCAGCCTGTATGAAACATTTTATGAACAAATGCTTCTGCAGCTTTCCAGGTATTCCTTTCACCTAAATTTGAATTTTGTTGTGTTTTAATGTTCCTTTTAAACATGATCTGTAGCTAAAACTTAAAAAATGTAAGGATAAACACATTATTTATTACTAGGGCCGGGACTTTAACGCGTTAATTACGATTAATAAATTAGAAAAAAATAATTAAAATGCATTTTTTTATTAAAAGCTTTAGTTTACAGTAATAACCATGTCTAATGTTTGATTCTCTGTCTCATAATTTTAATTAAAAGTTTTACTTTGAGAGCACATTTTCCTGAACGATTAAAATGCGATTAATTTAGATTAATTAATTACAAAGCCTGTAATTAATTAGATAAAAAATTTTAATCAAGTCCCAGCCCTATTTATTACTTTAAAAGAACAAAGAGATCATTTAACAAACAATTTTTTTGAAAATTGTGCAGAATTTCAAATGCATAACTGCGCAATCATTTGTAATCAAATGTAAAGATTTGACAGATATTCTAAGATCTAATAACTGATTAATAACTGATAACCACTGCTACATGAGATATCAAATTTAGACTGTGCAGCTTGTGTAAGACATTAAACATAAAACAGTAAACATGTTTTACCTTTGCACTGCAGGAGCCACAGACAGACCTGGAAAAGGAAAAAAAAATCAAGACTTAAAATTGGAAACAACTTAAACTTGTTTAACTATATCTCTGTTTTCTGTATCTTCCTGGAGTTTTCAAACAAATTACCATCATAATACCCTCTAAGGTGTTTCAACAGAGGGCCTATTTGTGCAACAAAATACCCCCAAAACTCAAATATTGTGTGAATATTCTCAGGAAAATGTACAAATTAAACATATTTAGGTCGATTTTATGTTGATCTCCAATCTTTAGAAAACAACATAGTTCTTTATGGTAAAATGTGGTAAAATCTAATTTCGTTTGGCTTTTCTGATACCTTTTACACAGTACACATGTCGATGGCCACGAGAAAAGAGGAAACTTGATTCTGCAGCAGCAGCAGACCTGAGGAAACAGAATTAGTTCATTTACTGTAAAACACCACAGAGACTGCTGCAGAGAGGGGACTCGTACCTTTCCTTTCTTCAGATTATTATAGAGTTCTTTGCTCTGGATAAATTTCTCCATCTCTGCTTTGACCAGAACTCGTCGCACATTGATGACCTCATCAACTGTGAGGGCAAGACTCTCTACAGGATGGCTGAACTCCTCCTGAACACAAGAAAAGGCAGCAGCAGGGTGGAGGATTGAGCATACTTTAATATTTGCTGTATAAACTCCTGCTCTGGAGTACAAATACATAACTTAGAAAGCAAAAACATTTTATATCTGATACATTTGACCAGAAGAAGAACTGATACTTCTACAAACTACAGTTTTAATTACGCAGATGTCGGACAGAATGCAGTTTATAACCAAAGACCCAAACCAAAGTGTCCTCTAATGGACATTTCTTTTGTCCTGTCAAAAAGAACATTTAGGGACTTTTATGATAACCCATTTGTTGGGTGGGAGTTTGGCGAACTTACTCCTTGTCTTCATTTAATGTTTATTTATTTATATTTCTAGAGGATAAAACCCCTTGAGATGCATCACCTCATCTTCAAGGGGGTCCTCCTTTAAAACACCGAAACAATGAGAGATAGGAAGACTATCAGTGGCATAAGCCAAAACGAAGTAATACAAGCAGACCAAATAAATTGTACAAGAAAAAAATGTTCAAATAAGATAAATAACTAAAAAAAACACCTCACTTTGACAACATGATTATGTGACATCAAATACCAAACTCAAAAACATTCACAGATACAAGAAGATGCAATAAGTGATTAGAAGTTTTTAATGGACGAAAATAAGTAATCAATCGTAACTCCAGAGGGAGTCTGTTCCACTCTGTTGGGGCTTTGACACAAAAGGCAGTTCTTCCTGATTCTTTATTTCTTTTACATGACTGTTAAAGGGACATTTCAGCTATTTAAGTCGTTTTAAAATACTCCAAAAATGAACAATAATTGACCTGCACTAGTATACTGCCTTTCTTAGTCAGAGGACTGCAACATGCTTTACACTACAGTGTATATAAATCCATTTACATATATACATATATATATACATACATACTGGTGGTGATGAGCTACATCAGTCACAGCTGCCCCAGGGCACATCGACAGACTGGGCTTGAACCTGCAACCCACTGATTACGGGGCAAACTCCTAAACCCTGAGCCATTGTTGCCCGAATGCTATGTGTGCTTTGTAAAGATGTGACCGTAAAAGGTTTGGAGATTAAATCTGGTTTGAGACAACAGGAAAAGACTTTGTTTTTGCTGTTGATGAGTGTAAAACCCTATTTCTCTAAACAGAGGCTGTTCAGGAGGATAACTGGTGTTTATCACTTTTACACAGAAAAGCGCGACTTGATTTTGCATGTCTCTAATTTCATTATTGATTATATCACAATTCAGTTTTTACATTATTTGAAATATCAATGTTTTTATTTGATCATAAATCCCTTATGCTAGTAGACCAGTTTGCTTGAATCGGGTGTAAAACTGGTGTTTATTTTAAGGTTGTAGCAAAATTTTAATTATTTATTTTTTTAAAGAGCAACTCACCCCCTAACAGAGTTTTACTCCACTCCCACTTCCTGTTTGAAAAATGCAACAAATGCCTGGCAGACCGATAGAGCAAATCAGCTAACACACACACACACACACACACACACACACACACACACACACACACACACACACACACACACACACACACAGATTTTGACATCATAATGTACCAGCCTACATCGTAGTGTACCTCTTAGCGATGGCAGATTTAAATACTAATGCAGTGCAGAGTTTTCACCTGAAGGGGGCGCAACACTGACAGTTTTAGGCAGAATATTTCAATTTGAACTAAAATACACTGAAGTGCCAAATTATTGAGTTCATGTGTCTACAGCACGATTAAACACTCATTTATATAGTTTATTAGCAAAAAAAAGGTGATTTGGGGGTGACTTGCTCTTTAAGTCCGTCTTTGTCTCACCATCCACTGCTCGGCAGTTCTGGAGCCCGTCGTAGATCCGGGTCCCTCTGTGGTCTCGTCCACTGAGCTCAGAGACAGGCGGGCGGGAGACGACGGCGCCCAGCCGTGAACTGGGAAGGAAGCTGGTGTTGTGGAAACAGATAATAAATAAATAAAAATTAAATAAGGATGTATCAGTGAAGCTGGGAGTGAATGAGGAAAAGCCTCAAATCCCTGTCGGACGAGTCCATGAATTACACATCAGCCTCTTTCATTCAGCGCCGTCTCAGATCTCAGCCCCTCACGGCGTTTGTCGATCCGCTCTAATGCAGTCATGTATTATTAATCTGATTCCAGGACAGAGATTCAGCTCACGCTGCTACAGCTGTAACTTAGATCACGCTGAGAGGTCTGCTCTAACACTGCAGACCACACACAGCTAACACTTCAACGAGCCTGAAAAAAGGGGGAAGGTGTCGATCTGACTTTAATGGAAAGTAAACAGGCTGAGGAAGGCTGGAACAGGCCAGTAAACAGCATCTGTACATATAATTTGGATCAGCTGCTGATGACAGCTGGGACTTACAGGCTTACATCCTCACGCTGACTCAGATTAGAAAAAAGCGCCCCTGATGGCAGGGCTGGGTACTGCATGACAAATCCTCATCCTGCTAATAAATCAGCTTGTCTGAGGTCTGTGACACGCAGAAGCATGGCATTGCAGCATCCACAGCATGAGAGACACTGGAATGCAATTATCTCTACTAACAGACTGAAAGGCTTCTAATGCATGAAATCACGGACGTCCGACAGATTCCCGTTTTAGTCTCCATCACAGAATCTGACTATCAGCACATCTTTCTATCCAATTAGAATCCATCACAACTCTCTCAGCAGCTTCAAGGCTGATGTGAGTCTCAGTGAACGACGCAAAGGTGCTGCACCACAGAGGACAGACACAGCTCTTATTTCAGTGAGGTAACAGTAATTTAATAAGATTTGTGCTTGAGGCAGAGACTGGAAGCAGTGGCGACATGATGTCTCCTAAATCATCCTACAGCCTGGAGGCTTACATGGGAAAAACAGCCAGTTTTATACAGCTGTAGTGAGTACGGGTTGCATTTGGTGAAGAATGTGGACGCAGACCAGGTAGAAATCATTGATCTAAAATCTTATTTTATATTATAACAAAATAATTGAATTTTGAAAGTTATTGAAACTTGATAATAAACCTTTGAAGTAAAATATTTCTGTTTTTTATTTTAGTAAATTCTGGACCAAAGACAATTAAAGTTTTATTGAAAGTTTTTAAATCTGCTTTAAATTTTGACCGAGGTTATAAATTCAGCCAAATATGCACTGATGTGCTTCTATGAAATCAGTAGGGTGCCGATGCGTTACCTGTTGTTGCACATTCATCCAGATTTTTTGAAAGAAAACGTGTAAAAAAAATTCCAACAATCCTCAGAATAATTGAAATTCGAAATCATTTCCTTTTTTCAGCCGGGTTTTGGTTTGTTCTGATGTGTGTTTATGTCAAAAACCTCCAAGGGTGTCGGTTACATAATTTTTAAACCAAAGCAGTTATTCTGGTTTTTCTTTGCCTCTGTAGTATCGTAACTATCTTTTAAATTGGAAATTTGCTCTCAGGAAAAAGAAAATGTGATGCTTTGTCTCCCTCAAGAAGAGCAAAGCTAGAACTGCACCAGTTTGTGTTCCTTCTCGTTTTTCCTTGATGAGAATTGAACGAGTGGAGATTAATGAATGATGTAATGGAGAAACTCAGCTGTACGTCTACAGGTATTTTGTTTTCATTCCCATGAATGCTTGGTCAAAAGCCTCTGCTAGTATTCACCAGATGAAGCAACTCAAGAGTTTTTTTCCTGACTTGATGACTTTTACAGAAGATTTCAGGATGTAATGGAGACTCGTTATCAAGATTATTTACATAAAATGATAAAAAAAAGTATGATGTTAAACTAGATAACCAGTCAGACCTCTGTAATAAGAAGGCAGTCCGGTGCCGGCCAGCGTCCTGGACCGAGGTCTCACATCCCGCAGCGTGATTGTCTCGCCCAGCTGGGTCGACTCAGACAGAGAGGGAAGCCTCTCCTCTCGAAGTAAGGCGAGGTCCTGCTCCGAGAAGGACCGGTCTCTCTTTAGAGGTGTAGGGGAGCTCTCAGTTTGCCTCGGCTCCCCGTTATCTGGAGATTCTTCCTCCTGATGAAGAAAAGGAGGACAAATGTCACAGATGGACATTGATACAGATCAGGCCAAACCTTTCATTCATCTGTGCTGCTCCCGTCTCGACTATTGCAATTCACTTCTTTATGGTCTCCCCAACAAACTCCTTCATAAACTGCAACTGGTCCAGAATTCAGCAGCCCGTATTATCACCAGAACCCCTTCCTTTCACCACATCACCCCGGTTCTCCAGCAGCTTCACTGGCTCCCAGTTAAATTCAGGTCCATCTTCAAAATTCTCCTCCATACCTTCAAAGCAATCCACAACCTCTCTCCTCCATATGTCTCAGACCTTATAAGTATTCACACCCCATCCCGTTCACTCAGATCTTCTTCTTCCATCCATCTTGCAGTTCCTTCTGCCCGTCTCGCTAACATGGGGAGCAGAGCTTTCAGCCGCTCTGCTCCCCGTTTCTGGAACTCACTCCCCCCAAACATCAGGAACATCGACAGTTTCACCCTTCTCAAAACAAAACTCAAAACACACATGTTTAAATCTGCCTACAACCTCTGATTTTATTGAACTGTTTCTCTTTGTTTTTTCTGGTTTGGGTTTTATTATTGTTTTATTGTATTTTATCACGTGTTTTCTGTAAAGTGACCTTGGGTGTCCTGAAAGGCGCTTTTAAATAAAATGTATTATTATTATCATCAGAAGATTAAAGATGGCAAGTTTGAAAAACAAATTAGCTTAAAATGTTTTTTTTTCATGCCTCATAATGACGTTCCAACATAGTACAGCTAGAAATACGCTGCCGACCCAAAAAAGATCGCATTCTAATATTTCGTTGCCGTTAGCATTACAGCACACATTCGCCGTGGCGTTGTTATGATAAGCTTCTGCAATGTCATCAGATTTATTTCCATCCAGTGTTGCATTAATGTTTCACCAAGATCTTGCACTGATGCTGGTAGTCTAACCGCTGCACTAAGCCTTCTCCATCCCAAAGATTCTCACTGGGGTTAAGGTCTGGACTCTGTGGTGACAAATCCAGGTGTGAACATGATGTCTCATGCTCCCTGAACCACTCTTTCACCATTTGATGCAGATGAATCCTGGCATTGTCATCTTGGAATTGTGTCATCAGGGAAGATGGAATAACCTGGTCATTCAGGATATTCAGGTAGTTAGCTGACCTCATTCTTGGAGCACATCCTGTTGCTGAACCTGGACCTGACCACCTGCAGCAAGCCCAGATCATAGCACTGCCCCCACAGGCTTATAGGCACTAGCCATGATGGGCGCTCCACATCATCTGCCTCTCTTCTTCAGCTCAAATGTCATTCAGATGTCCAGGTCTCTCCACAGTTTCAGTATTTAGCCTCACCTCAGATATGTTCATCTCCTCCATCTCAGCCAGCGTTGGGGCCTTGAGCAGGATGCGAGGGCGGGACGGCGGCCGGGGTCCGGGCTCTGCCACAGACAGGTCGATGCATGACGTAGATTTGACATTGCAAGGACACGTCTGAGCCAGACAGGGCAGCGAGCCAAACGCTGAGAGAAGAGAAAGCAAAAACAAGGTGGAGGAGCTCAGACAGACTCTGGAGCTTTTATGCTGCTGTTTTAGAGCTTTGTCTCTATTGGACTGAAATGTTGAATTATAATTTTAATGCTGACAACAACAGAAAGCTAAAAGTTAAACAATGCTGCAAAGATAACAACAGCATAAAAAAACTGTCACTGAATTTTCCAATCATAACCAGGCCAGAGGTCGAGTGTCCGGGGATTTTAACACCTCTGCACTAACTGTTCTGCTTTAGCTGACTTCAACAAGGTATAAGTTTTACCATTTAAATAAACCATTGTTGCTCTGAAAATGTGGACGAATGTTGAAAATGAATCAGGGCAACATATGAACAAAGCCAATGCAGAATCTTGTAGCTGCAATTCCCCTGGTGCCCAACAGGAGGCGACCCCTGGCTGCAAAACAGATGTTGCTGCATACAAGACATGATTAGAGACATGGTCAAAAGGATCTTACTGAAGTAGCAGGTACACCACATCTGTTAGACGTGCTCTAAGGTGAAAATACGGTCACAAATCTCTTCAGCTGCAGCAAAACAAAAGACCAACAAATGGTCACTTACGTCTGCTGCTGTGTGGCGCCACGGGTCTCAGCTTCCTCTCCTGCTTGATCTCTTCCAGAATCCGGTCATGGAGCGACTGCTGCTGAGGCGGAGGAGGGGGAAGGCTGCGCTCAGAAACCTAATAGGCAGAAACAATTAATTAACAATCAATTTAAAATAAATGGTTAACTATGCGGGGGCTGCGCAGTGGTGCAGTGGTTAGAGCTGTTGCCTTGCAGCAAGAAGGTCCTGGGTTCGCTTCCCTGTGCGTGCGTGGGTTCTCTCCGGGTAATCCGGCTTCCTCCCACAGTCCAAAAACATGACTGTTAGACGTGCAGGTGTGAGTGTGTGTGTGTGTGTGTGTGTGTGTGTGTGTGATTGTTTGTCCTGTGTGTGTCTCTGTGTTGCCCTGCGATGGACTGGCTCTCTGTCCAGGGTGTACCCCATGGACGTAATTTTCACTTAAGAAGTGGGGGGGGACACGGGGTGGGGTGGGGGGGGGGGTATCTTTACAGTATGCTCTAATTGGAAACAGCCTTCAACACAAACAGTTGTTTTCCGCTTGGTCCTAGAGCTCAACCAGTGTCAATTTAATATAGTGTAATATTGCTTTTGGATGGTAAAAATGCAGGGGTCAAAACTTGACTTTGGAAAAAGTGGGGGGGACATGTCCCCCCTGTCCCCCCCCAAAATTACGTCCATGGTGTACCCCGCCTGATTGCCCGCTGACCGCTAAAGATAGGCACCAGCCAACCCCCCCCCCCCCCCCCGCGACCCCATGTGGACAAAGCGGGTTCAGACGATGGATGGATGTTTACTATGCTGCAAAAGCCTGTTGGTTGAAATAAAGAAGCGACTGTCTGTAACGGGGTGGCTCAAGCTGGGCGAGAGTTTGGATGTGGCGTGGCTTTTAACCCAAGCGCGGAGTGACTGACGCCGGGTTGAATGGACACGCTGTTTAATCTGGGAGCCGGGTGCGCAGCTGTATGGTGACACAGCTGAACACGGCGACTCCTGGTCTGAAGCTGATCTGTATGAACAGGCAGGATTCTGAGATCTGGCTGGTCTGATCTGAACAGGCTTCGTGATTTGAGCTGATCTGGTTTGGACTCTAGGTTAAGTTAGGTTAGAACGATGACTGAGTGAGCCGGCGTTGTGCGGCACTTCCTTATATAGATTTGGCGGGTGACGTGAAACGGAAGCCTGGCGCTAGGGATGTTGGGTAATGGAGTCTGAGCGGCTCTGCGGTGCCTCCCTAGAGGAGGTTGACGGATGAGAGGGAGGTTGTGTGACACTGTCACTCTGAAGGAATTTAGGGACATTTGTGTTCCATCAGAGAAAAGCAGGAAACACTCATTACAGTCATTAAACCTTGTGGTGGACATCCACTTCCTTCACAAACATGTGAGAGAATAAAAAAATCTACCTACTGGTTTAAGTGGAGGTCTGGATCTGATGAAGTCCAGTATCAGCTCATGAGCGTTTCTCTTTACCCTCATGGGAATGTCCCCATCCACCTGAACGAACCAGGACAAAGAACAAAAGCTGAGAAGCTGAACAAACAGAAAGAAGCTACGCTTCTCAGGCTTGTTGAAGGTAGAAGTAAATTCAAACCCACAGGAGCAACATTAACTTCTGTTTCTGGTGGTATGATAACATTTGGGTGTAATTTCCCACCACAGGGCACTCTGCCGCTCACTGATTCTGAAAATAAACTGCAATGCAGCCAGAACAACAGAAGGCTGTGGGAAAAAAAACTTCATTAATATTTTGGTCGAGAGGCTGAATTATAGAAATGGCTGAAAAAATCCTGGAGGCTGCTCTCTGCCACATGACTGATACAGGCCTCTGCTTCCTTCTGCAGCAGCAGAGCGCTGAAGAGAAACAGGAAGACGTTTTAAAGTTTTCAGTCACTTTTTTGTTGCCCTCAGAATCTGGTGGCCTGGTTTGAACCCAGTCAGATGCAGTTAGGAACATTTCAGATCACTGGTCAGTAAATAAAAATATTTACAAAATGCACAAGAGGATTGTTTATCTTTGCCCAACATTTAGAAAATTATTCATATTTATTAAACAACCCAGCATTCACATCTTAGCCAGTGGAGTTTGAAATGAAGTTTAATAAGTAAAAGAATCAGCAAATAAATAAATAAAGGGGCCACTGAAAAGAAAAAAGAAAAGAAGAAGAAGAAGAAAAGATCATTTCTAAAGCGCCTCTCAAGATAAAAATCATGAGGCGCTTCACAAAAACAAAAAATGTAAAAATATAAAAAGTAATTTAGAAAATGGTTAAAAATACATTTAAAATGAGCAAAAAATAGACAATTGTGATAAAAAAATGTAAAGAAAGAGAGAGTGAACAGGAAAGAGGGAAATCAGAGGATCCTGAGGAAGGTGGAATAGGTGGGGGGAGCAGAATAAAGAGAGAGAGGTGAAGAAGGTCATACAAAAGCCAGCTTGAACAAGTGAGTCTTCAGCTGCTTTTTAAAGGAGACCACTGAGTCCACTGATCTCAGGCTCAGGGGGAGAGAGGTCCAGAGTCTGGGGGCCACAGCAGCAGATGATCTGTCACCTTTGACCTTTAGCCTGGTGCTGCACAACCAGTAGGCTTTGGTCACTGGACCTCAGGGACCTGCTGGGGGTGTAGGGACTAAGAAGATCACCAATGTAAGATGGTGCTTGTCCATGTAAGGCCCTATAGACCAGAACCAGGATCTTGAAATGAACCCTGAAGTTGACTGGCAGCCAGTGAAGCTGGAGGAGAAGCGGGGTGATGTGGGTGTGTTTGGAGGACTTGGTCAGAAGCCGAGCACAGGCATTCTGAACCACCTGTAGACGGTTCAGGGAGGTTCTGCTCAGACACGTGAAAAGAGAGTTACAGTAGTCTAAGCGTGAGGAGATGAAGGTGTGGAGAACTGTCTCAAGTTCAGAGCGGGACAGAATGGGACTCAGCTTAGCAACGTTCCTGAGATGGAAGAAGGAAGAAAGAACAAGAGAACTGACATGAGAATCCAGGGTGAGAGCTGGGTCAAAGGTCACACCAAGATTCCTGACAGAGGGTTTGGTGTGACAAGCAAGCTGACCAAGAGAGCTTTTCCTCTTTCATGGAGAAGACCCCGAGATACTTAAACTCCTCCACTTGGGGCAGGACCTCATCCCTGACCTGGAAAAGGCAGTCTACCCTTTTCCGACTCAAGACCATGGTCTCGGATTTAGAGGAGCTGATTCTCTTCCCAGCTGCTTCACACTCTGCTGTGTAGCATCATGAATGACCTCTAATTTGTGACGAAGGTCACATTTTCCCAGCTGGGTCAAGCTGGGTCGATTGTAACTTTGCCCCACAGATTAAACATGCCAGGAGCCGTGATGTCTGCTGAAAATCATCTTTATCTGCTGCTGTTCCGTCCCAGGCTGAAGGACACTTCAAGTCCACAATAAAAATTTTAAATAATAATTGTAATAAACTTTTGACTTTATTACTGTTATTACAATCGTCATAAATAATCTGTTGGTTCAGTATGAATGTATTTTAATTACTGAGATGACTTATTATGCTTTGGGTTAATAATGATTATTGTTGATGATCGGTTACGTGTGTTCAGTAAACCAGAAGGTCATCTCGCACGTAACCAGCCTCATTCAGAAGGGACATCCAGGGTGAAGGGTAAAATCATCACGTCTTTAACTCATGACCAAGCTTTCTGACGCTGAGTGGGCGTGTTCTGAGGGTTTTGTTAAAACCGAATTCTGCAGCTAAAGTCCAGTTCTGGAACCATCTCAGAGGACGAGGGTCGGCCGCCTGAAGTCTTCACTAAGCTGTTCTGTCACGCCGATAGAATAAACGCAACGATAACCAGCTGACGCAAAACTCCTTCAGAGTTGTTGATTTTGAGACGCTGATAGTTCCACCAGTCGAGTGACCCACGGAGACATCTCAGGACAGATTTAGTCACACTAAGGTCCTTCTACCAGCCTCGTGCCCGGAGGAAACCATCTCCACCTGACATCTCGGATCCAAAAGGGGGTCTCCTGGATGGTTGAGGTAGACACTTTTGACAGACTGCGTCTGTATGATGTTCTCCCTAAGAAACGACTCAGTTAGCTGCAAAAACAACGTTTCACCCAGAACGCTTCTCTCGCTGAAAGAAACCTTCACGCATCCAAAAACTCACATTTTCATTTTAGCTTCCATTCATCCACAGGTTTGCCTTTAAAACAAGTTTTAATATCAAAGCTGTTAAAAATTGTCATTTTTTAAAAGTGTTAGTAATAAATTCTTAACTTTAAAAACTTGACTCTTCTTTGAAATGAAACACAGAATGGTGTGTATTTCTGGTTATTGAAAAAGCAAAGATTCCCTTAACTTCTGATCAAATAAATAAACTTTTGCTATGCGACGGTGGCACAGGAGTTAAGAGCTCGCCCCGTAATAGGAAGTTGCAGGTTCGAGTCCCGCTCAGTCTGTCGTTGTCGTTGTGTCCTTGGGCAAGACACTTAACCCACCTTACCTGCTGGTGGTGGTTGGAGGGACCGGTGACGCCAGTGCTCGGCAGCCTTGCCTCTGTCAGTGCGCCCCAGGGCAGCTGTGGCTACATCGTAGCTCATCACCACCAGTGTGTGAATGTGTGTGTGAATGGGTGAATGACTGATTGTGTTGTAAAGCGCCTTGGGGGGTTCCAGGACTCTAGAAGGTGCTATATCAAATACAGGCCATTCAGGCCATTTATAAAACTTAATTATCTTAAATTAAACATTAATCTTTGGATTAAAACTAGACCAAGCTCGTTGGCACATGAACTTCTATCGAATATATGATACCCTAGATATTTATATATAATAGAAGCTTCATTGTGAACTCGTTTGGATCTTTTCTCGGACTCTAACGACTGATAGCAGACAGTGTTGATTCTAGTATGTAGTTTAACACGCTACGGCTGCGAACCGCTGATGAACCCAACAGAACCACATCATCTGCAAAAAGCAGACACCCGAACCTCAAGCCACTTCCATTAAGAGTCATTTATTTTATTCTTAAATTATTCACCCGCTTGTTTATTGATCCATAAATAAGTAAACTGCAGCCATGTTTCATGATATTTTTCAGTTAAATTTATTACCCAAGTAGTTCAGCTTATTCTGCTGTTATTTTTTTCATGCCCTTATTCTGTTGATTTAAACGACTGACCCGGCTGCAGAACGACTCTCACCATGACTTTGCGTAGCTGGAACTTGCGAGCTCGGATGTCCTGCATCAGCATCTCGAACGGCGTGAGGCTGAACTCGGTGGGCAGCGGGTTGAAGGGTTGCTCCTGGACCTTCTTCAGCTTCACCCCCTGCCTGAGCTCCTTCATCAGCTGCACCCACAGACGAGCCTGGTGTTAAACAACAACACCGCCACACGTGCATTTGTGAGCGTGTGGCTCTGCCTCCTCTAGTCAGACACTAGTTTTATTGTCCTTCCAGTCACACGAGTGTCATCGTGTCTCACCCAGTCTTTATGTTTCAGCGTGTCCAGTTCGGCTGTAGATCTGTCCTCCAGAGACTCCTCGTTGGAAATCTTCTTCAGCATCTGGAAAACAGAAATACTTTTCTTAGGAAAGAGAGATTTTCCACTCAAGAAAGACTTTTTTTTATTAGTCTGCTCATATTAGAATTAATACAACACAACAAGCTGTTTGTGTTCATTTAAAATATTTGTGCATATTTTTATTCGACTGTAAATTATGAAGCCAAATCCTGGCAGATGACAGACAGACACCAATTATCTAATCATTATGATTTAGTATCTTTTACTCATGCTTTTTATAATTAGGAATTTGTATTTATAATTAGGATTCTTTATCTCAGTATAATGACTTTCTATGTTATAATTATAAATCTGTGATAATCCCTCCAACTCCCTCGTGTTTTATGATCCGATTCTCTGCAGAGGTGCAACTCATGGTCGTGTCATCCTTGTTCTGTCCTTTATTGTTGTGTCTTTCATATATTTAGAAACCTTTTAAGCTGCTGGGAAACAGCAAGTAGACGCCAGGCAAAGATAAATTATGAGTACGAGAACTATAAAACAAACAAATCAATTCAAATTGCTTCATGTCGACACACAACCCTGGCATCATCATTCAGAGTGGGAACAGTAAAGCTGAGGAGGAATTGCTGCTTTCACACTGGTTTTGTTTGCTTTGTTTTATAAAATAAGCATTTTTATGAAATTTTTATGTGTGAATTTTGATGCTTCTGTCATCCGTTGCTGCTTGTGCAAAAATAAACATCAGTCAAAGAGAAATATCAACTTAAAGGTGTGGTTCACTCGTTTAATCATCACATCTGCAGTGGTCTCTAGTAGAAATGAATGCCTTGTAAGTTGTGCCCGGGGGGGGGGGGGGGGGATGCTAATAAACGGTTAGCTTCTACTAGCTGAGACGTTCTCTGCTGTTTCCTGGACACTAAACCAACAACAGCCTTCCTCATCATAAGTCCAGATGGGTGAGTCCATGAATGTTGGTGACAGGGTGACGCAGATCTGTCAGGATTTTATAATCCTAGAGTTTCACCGTCTGTTTTCTATCAGAAGCTAATTCAGGAGATAGGTGTAGGAGACTATTTTCATGTCCTTTGCTGCTGCCGTTGATCGACTACTACCGAGGCAGATGGCTCACCTGATGGCGTGTCATTCGTTACCTAACCCATCTGAATTCGGCCTAGTGTTTACTTATGATATTTTATTGATTTATTTATTTATTTTATTTTTTAAGTTTTGTGTGTGCATGTGTGTATTTGTTGTTCGTGTGTGTGTGGGTGCGTGTTCCTTAGGAAATGGGTTGTGGGATTTTTTTTGGGGGTGGGGGGGGGGGTTGGGCCTGTCATATAAATTTTTATATTTTTGGGGAAATGATGGGATCATGGGTTATATGGGGTGAATTTAACCTGTAAAGCACTTTGTGCCGCATTTTTTGTATATGAAGAGTGCTATACAAATAAAGTTTGATTGATTGATTCATGTTCAGCCTGAATGAAAACACAGAATGGCTCATTATAAACAGAAATAAGATTTTAAAATGGTTCTTCAGTGTTCCACATCTTTAAAAGAAAAAACAATCATGAAAAAGAAAAAACAAAAAATGTGGGAAGCCATTTATTTTAATGTGTGTAATTCTATTTGTTAAGGTTCAGCTCTGTTAATGAACTCTACTTAGATGGACCATTTTTGTTCCATGAATGTTAATTTGATCGTGTTAGGTTGAGTTTGGTAAACGGAGCAGATCTGAGTGAGGAGACTGAACTTCATGTACCTCCTTTGCGTCTCGGATCTTAATCAGGAAGGTCTGCAGCTCCAGCGTCTCTACAAACAGAGCTCGGCAGACGGCCTGGTAGTGTACAGGAGCCAGACTCGGGTTGGCCAGACGAGACGAACAGAGTACCATCACCTGATGGAACGTACAAACCAGCCCAGTTGCTCCCTCTTCCTGCTCCTCCTCTTCCTCCTCCTCCTGTCCGCTGTAGCCCTCATCAGCGGTGCCATTCCCAGTAGTGCTGGTTCCCTCTTCACCTGAGTCTTCGCTGGCCATTCTCTCGATGAGGTGCTCCAGCATCGGACTAAGCTCCCGCTCCTCGCTGTCGTCCAGTCCCCAGTCCAGAGCTCGGTAGATGGCCACTCCGAGAGACTGGACCAGCTGGGAGAAAAGCAAAAAGGCAGGAGTCTATTTCCGATGTACAAAAATGAAACCCAACATGAGATTCGTTTGAAAACAGAGAGTCAGGTGTAGATATTTGTTAGGTAGATTCCATCTCACTGACCATAAGCACAAAGCAAAACAAATTTCATATCAAATATTAAATCAAAGAAAGCTTCAGCTGCTGTAATAAAGGCTGCGAAAGACACCAAAACGATCAAAGATGATAATTATAACGAATTTGGGTAAAATATCAGTTAATTTTAGTCAAATTCGTGTTCTACTTTATTGTTTAATAGATTTTTATACCACAACTATCTGTGCAATCAACCTATTTCTGTTACAGAGTTCAAACTTTCTTATTTTAAAATAACAATGTGAAATCTTCTGCACTTAGATGCAAACATTGGTATCTAGATGCTGCTAATACATAATTATTGTTACGTTGAGGCACAGTAAAAATATGTGTAACAGCAAACAGACATGAAGTTTCACTAAAGCAAATCCCAGAAGGAAGAAAGAAAACAATCTTTTATATAGCGCCTCTCAAGATAAAAATCACGAGGTGCTTCATAAAAACTAACAAAAAAAATGTAAATATAAAAAAAAGGTTTCAAAAAATGATAAAATATGTTTAAAATTAGAAATAAATTAAAGTAAGGAAAGAGAGAGAACAAATGAATGGGAGAGAGGGAAATCAGTGGATCCTGGGAAAGGAGGAAAAGGAACAGAACAAGGAGAGGGTGATGAAGGTCACGCAAAAGCCAGCTTGAACAGGTGAGTCTTCAGCTGCTTTTTAAAGGAGACCACTGAGTCCACTGATCTCAGGCTCAGGGGGAGAGAGGTCCAGAGTCTGGGGGCCACAGCAGCAGATGATCTGTCACCTTTGACCTTTAGCCTGGTGCTGCACAACCAGTAGGCTTTGATCACTGGACCTCAGGGACCTGCTGGGGGTGTAGGGACTAAGAAGATCACCAATGTAAGATGGTGCTTGTCCATGTAAGGCCCTATAGACCAGAACCAGGATCTTGAAATGAACCCTGAAGTTGACTGGCAGCCAGTGAAGCTGGAGGAGAAGCGGGGTGATGTGGGTGTGTTTGGAGGACTTGGTCAGAAGCCGAGCACAGGCGTTCTGAACCACCTGTAGACGGTTCAGGGAGGTTCTGCTCAGACACGTGAAAAGAGAGTTACAGTAGTCTAAGTGTGAGGAGATGAAGGTGTGGAGAACTGTCTCAAGTTCAGAGCGGGACAGAATGGGACTCAGCTTAGCAACGTTCCTGAGATGGAAGAAGGAAGTTTAACAGAATTCCTCACCTGTCTCTCTGCAATGGGAGGCAGAGGAGGCCCGTCAGAGAAATCTGAGAAAACAAAACAAAACCATGAAACACATTTAAATAGTTAGGAACACCATACCCCCCATGGAATTAGTTTTGTTTTTCTTTTGTTGATAATTCAAACCACTGAGGAAAAAACATCTCAGAGAAATTAAAAAATATTTTTGATGACTGTTTTTGCAATGTACCATAAGATTCCCTTCTATATCAAGTATTTCAGCCACCGAGACGTAAAATCTGTATTTAATAATAGAACGTAAGTATGATAAAACTATGCATCTATCAATGCAAGTGCCATAAAACTGCTTGTTTGTGCAAAAGTCTTAAGTCATCTCACATATTTATTCATGAATAATGCTAATGAGTCAGACTCTCTATTTCTGTCAAAACGAACACATAAAACTATTTTTTAGCACCAACAAGGTTCCAAAGAGTTGTAAGCTAAAGCTAAACATGTGAGAAGAAATAAAATTAACCTCTGAGGCTAAAAATATCAAATTAAACTGAAAAAGCCTCGAAGTTAAAAATGTACTTCTTTCAACCTTCAGACAAACAAGAACTACTAGACGGGTTTAAAGTTTACATGATCATCACAAGTGAATAAACATCAGAAACATCATGTATTTTATTTTGTAAGGAAGAGGAAGAGGAGGATCGGGAGGGAGGGATATAGTATAAGCTGTATTCATTTAACTTATAATCTGCAAAGTGTTTTTAAATCTGCAATTTACCAATTTGTTGTCATTTTAAAATCAACTAATAACCACGACAGCAGCTTTTTCTACAATAGTGATTTTTCTTGTCCAGTAACCTCTGTTGTCTTTAATTTACATACGGTTTTATTTTTACTAGACTTATTGCCGCAGTTGTTCACTGTTGCAGCTTTTCCACACGTCCCAGTCTGAACTTGAGCTTTTGTCCTGCAGTCCAGTTAGCGGGGCTGAGAGAGAGAAACAACCTTTTCTCCTGGCTCAGATGTCAGTAACGACACCCGGGGGGGCCAAAACTCCTCGATCAGCAGCTCTCACAGCCGAGGAACAGGAGAGTGGGCAGACAGGGGAAACAGGAGAAAGGAGGTGATCCGGGAGGAGAGAGAAGAGGGAAATCAGCCGGGTAAAAAGGGGAAATTCAATAATAACAACAATAATAAAACTTCTAAACCTGCTCAATTTATTGAAACCTGGCAAAATTATTTACAAGGTTAAATACCTTTGATTATTTGTGTGAAGGTTTATGCATCTTATTTTGAAAGAGGAAGATATAGCCTTGTTGTTTAAAGGTAGATTTCAGTATGACAGCCGAGCCTATCCGTATAACTGCACTATCTGCAGTCTGATTATCAGGCGGTGAGTTGTGTTTTTGCTGTGTAAGTCTGGTGGGGGTGGGGGGCAGAACTCTCTGCTGTCAACAACAAGGTGCAGCAGGACGTGAAGCTCTGCCTGCGACCGACAAAGCCCTGCACTGTTTCCTGTGTGAACGGAGACGCTGCTTCCATCAGCAACAAAAGACGGTCCACTACAACTCCCACCACACAGGAGTGCAGTGGTGAGATGAAGCCATGGAAACCCGTCAGACAGGTTCTGGTAATACTCAGTCTGGGTCAGAGCGAAACCAATGACACTGCTGCTGGTTTTCCCACAGACTCAGTCGTAAACACAGAGGACAGGAATCTGCATGAGAAACGCCTCCGACAGCTTAGGAAAACAGAGAACTGCTAAACCGAGTGTTTAGTTAATTATTTCTTTAGTTTGAGCTGCAGGCGAACAGCTCCGCTGTCATGATGCTGCTCTTTGTTTGTCAAAAACAAGAAGCTTAAAACAAACTTTTAATTAGTTTTTGAGCAAACTCTTATTAGATAACTGGAATATCTGCAAGTTTAGGCCAACTCACATCTGCAGACACAAGGGAAAATGGTGCCCGAAACATCAATTATAAATCATATAATGAGTCAGAAATCAATTTCAGACCAAAAACAGATTCTGTATTGGTGGTCCAAACGCATCATGCCCACACAGATGACTCAAACAACCAACATCTGTCCCGCAGAACGACAAACAGATACAACCTGCGTCTCCCAGCCAACCAACAAGTGGTGATAACCCAGTCAGCGTCTGAGTTGTGTGACTGACTTCACAAGTCCTGTCGCTGCGCCCCGCAGAGCTCCCGCTCATTAGCTCATGGCTACACAGAGGGTCAATCTGGATAATGATGGAAAATATTTTGTCCTCGAAAGCCTGGCACCCTCTCTTCCTACCTTCGTTGGCACAAAACCCTCTCCCAACATGGATTTGCCTCCTGTTGCCATGGAAATAAGGACTGAGAAACCACAGTGACAAGAAAAACTGGGTTCAGAAGATCATGAGTGATAAAACAAACAGAAGAGACAAACAAAGGAGGCAGTAAGGAAAAAGCAGCAGCAGCAGAATAACTTTTAGCCAAATTAACTTTCTATTACATCATTTCCATTTCAGTAAACAGCCACAGGTATCGGTGCTTGTTGCAGCTTTTTAAAAGAGTGTTTCCGGATGTTTGTACTCTCAGACTTCTGCTTTAAATGATCTCTGGACAGAATTTGACACATACACCAAGATTATGGGATGCCTATGAACCTCTCACAGATAGCATGGAACTGTATTTCATGTTTATCTACGTACGCCTGCAGGCTGGGTTTAAAGGTTGTGCCACTAAGTTGTCCTTTGTACTTTTCACCTCATTAAGAGTGAATCTATTGCAGAAGAGAGATTAAAATCACCTCCAAGGCCATGGTCCTCATTCTGGAAAAGGGGAATAGTCACATCCGGGTAGGAAATGCAGAACTGCTCCGGGTGGAGGAGTTCTAGTTGATGGGTGGATTAAGCAATACCATTACGGTAATCATTAAGGTAATACTGTCAACTTACCAGTAACCTACATTCCAGCTTTTTCTTATAGTCATGACCAAAATGATTACACTGCAAATCTACAGACCAGGAGCCTCATTCATCAAGCCTGCTTACGCACAAAACGGGGTCGGAAAACTGCGTAAGCAACTTTCCACGCAAACTTTGGGATTTATGAAAGAAAACTTAGCGGAAAAATGTGCACAACTTTAAGTTGACTAAGGACCTGGCTTACACACATGTTGGACATGGAGAGCACCTGCAGTGCTGCTGCTGAGAGAAATCCTGCAGCATTATCACTAGCACCGCTTCGTTTTCACACAGAACAAGACCCCCCCCCCCCCCCCCCCCCCCACACACACACACACACACACACTGAAGCCAGAATAGGGAATGCAGAATATCAGCAGAGGGACAGATTGAGACAGAACATCATGCGTCTGTGACAGTGTGTGTCCTGTCACTGTGACCCGATTGATCATGCGCCCTGGCTACTTGTACAAGGGAGATCTCCATTTGGGTGACTGGTTAGCGTGCATGACTTTCACCCGGGAGTCTGGGGTTCAAATCCCGATTAGACCACTCTTTTTATATCCGCCACAGATCTCTCTGAAGAAGTCAGCATTGACGGCTTCAGCAACGCTGTGCCACTCCGTGGATTTTCTCTTATTTGTTTTGCAAAAGCACTTCCTTTCATTTCTCCACCTCACCCACAAGTACCTTAACTTCTGCTTCTGTGAAATGGCGCTTCCTTGATCTGCCTTGATCTACGGTCGCCATGTCATTGGCGGAGTGCTGCAACAGCCAGCTTATGTATATACATGAGGTCCACAAGTCACTTTGCATTGACTATTTATGGCAGTAAGTGGGCGTGGTGAGGGCGGGATGTGGCTAAAAAGCAGCTGAGAAACATTCTCGTTAGTCTCTGATTTATGAAGCGGAGATTGCGTGCAGCTGTGCGTCCTCCATGTTTGATAGATCAAAAACCCGCTTGGCGTAAGTTCATTTTTTTTGCTGAGCTTCAGTACGGTTTTAGTAAGGATTCTACGCCATGTTTGATAAATGAGACCCCTGGTGTGATGATGCCATAATTTAGTGAATTGGGCTGGAGCCACCATCAGGAGGAGGAGTTGCTGCTCCTCCACATCAAAATGAGCCTGTTGAGGTGGTTTGGGCACCGGTGAGGATGTCATAAATGCAGTTTGATACTTTTCCATTAGATAACCTGTCATAAATGTATTAAGAAGGCGTAAAGTCCTGCACACGCCGCACAAGCACTACTGTCCTCTTACAGAGTTAAAACAGGAGATCACACAGATTTCATTGAAATGTTGTGTTGAAATGATTGCAAAAGGATTAAATGAATATTGATTTTAGAAAATGAGCCAATGTTTTGGAGCCTGGATTCTAAAAAAGGTCTTAGACATTTTCTAGAAGATGGATCCACTTCCTCCGAACACTGGTTTCAACATTTGAGCGGATCAATGAAGGAGTTATGAGCTGTCACCAAAAATATCTGCCAACACAAATGTACTTTTGGCCACAAAAAATAAATAAATAAAGATTGCCCATGAAATTCAGAAAAAGATGAGCGGTCCAGATGGTGGAGGGCTGATGAACACTTCTCATGAAGGCATCGTAACAGCTCGTCCTCAGAGGAGCTTCCTGCAGCACCTCCACTTTGTTCACGTTACAGCGGCTGTTTCCGCTCAGATTTGTGCTCTTCGCAGGGAGAGTCGGTGGAACAGCTGATGTCAGCAGCATCCGAAAGCTGCCTGTGTTTACGGTCAGTCATGTGTGATTTCACAGCAGACTGACGATGGGAAAAAGGAAACCTGGACAGCTGGAATGCTGTTTTAATTGTTAAATATTTCATCTGTCTGACTAATAAAATGTGTTTCGTTCATTTGATTCCTGCACAGCAAGGTTCAGTTTACCTGTGGATTATTTTCTGCATCATTAAAAGTATTTGATTATTTGTTATTCTTCCTCAGCTGTGCAAAAGGCGTCCTTCTAAGATTAAATGAACTGCGAAAAGGAAAAGAAAATATCCTGTTGCTGCTTTTAATATTGCCTTTCTAAAGAGAGCATCCCAAAAACCACGAAAGTCTAGTTCTCCTGAATTAAATCCTATTTTCCGTGCCCTAAATCACAGAGAATCTACATTATATTCAACTAATAGCATAAAAAATACAAGAATAAAAAATAAATAAACAGCATCACCAAGGAGACAATGCTCCCCAAATTTATTCATCCCAGCACACCTGCTCCCCTCTGGTTTCAGCTCTCTAAAATAAGAAATAAAATTCTTTTGAAAAACAAGGAATGTACAGCTGACTTAAAAGAAAATTAATAAATTAATGGGGTTATGTCAAAGACTTCACATTTTTAAAGCATATAAATGGTTTAGGATTTATTTAAGGAATGCATTTTTCTGATTTATGATCCAGTTTGGGAGGAAAATTTGCATTATCATAACAATCTACATGTTTATTCTTAAATGTGAATCTGACTTTGGCGCTACAAACCCAGTTATTATGACTACTTGTCAATAAGACAAAAATTGTAGTTTTTACTGAGGCAACACCACAATTAAAAATACTTCAAACATTTACAACTATACAATAAAATACAGAAAGAAAATGATTCAGGGAATTAAGACATTAGTCACCTAAGGCAGTAAAAGTGGATATAAGTGCGCCACAATTTGAAGACACATCTAGTTTGTCCTCAAGTATAAAAAATAAAGCAGGTTCCAGGACTGCAGTGAGTCATGAACAATCCAAACGCAGGAGGATTTTTATGGTACAGTCATGGAGAATTCAATAAAATAAAAAGAAGACTACATGAAATCCTTTGGGCTTCCATTCATCCTTCGAAGTCTCCAAAACAGTCCTTGCACCAGCACAGCTAAAGCTGTCCTCTGAATAATTGATCATTTACCGGCATCTCTGGCATTGGAAGGGAGACACCGATTTATATCAACGGATACAAAGATGTTCTGTGTAAAAATAACTGTGCTCCTATTCAAAAAAAAAAATCCCAGTAAATAAACCCAAGTTGGTCTGGATGCAGCAGGACGCTGGAGTTCTAGTTCATCTCTGCCAAACCCAACGTGGGATTTATTTAATTTAATAAGAAACAGCTTTTACTTTGAGCTTGTTGAAAAACTAACCAGGATTTGAAGTATTTTCGAGACACTGATAGTGACCCTTCAATTCCGCATTAATATCATTGAGCCTGACAGCTCGGTTCACTTTTAAAAGAGTGAAACTGGCACACAGAAACAGTAGATGTAGCTGAAGGAAACTCGTTCCTGAGATAAAACCAAGCTGATCATTTGTTGTTGATCTTTGCCGAATAGAAACGTGAGCTTTCATGTTTAGCACACGTCAAAGTTGAAGCGAAAACTTACAAAAGAAGCTAGCGCTGTTGAATTAAACCTTTGCTTTTAGACCAATCAGAGCTGAGAGAAGTTGGAGCAACCGTCCTACCGTCGCGTCGGGGTTCCTCCCGTAACGAAACGGTCCCATCTCTGTGGAGGAGGATGGCGGACGGGTCCTTCACCCGGCTGGCTCTCCCGGGCGGCGGGCGGGGCACCCGGAGTCCGCTGCAGCACTGATAGCACACGGCCCATGCCTGCTCCTCGTTGATGGGCTGCTCGTAGGACTTCAGCACCTCCTCCAGGGACAGCTCCCAGGGCTCGGCCAGGTCCCGAACCTCCGCGCGGTCCGTGGAGGCGGTCACACGGGAACCCCCGTCCTCGGTAGTTCTGGTGGTGGATCCGGCCATGACTGCGATGCCGCGGAGCCCATGCTTCACTCCTCGAGCACCGGGGCCATTTGTGTGCTGAGCTGTTCGACCCGGTCTCGAGTACCGCAGCTGCGCCTCGTTATGTTACAAGTTGTCAAGGTAGCAGACGGAAACATGGACTTCCGGTTTCTGGTTTCAAAAATAAAACAGCAGGCGATGTGAAGTTACAAAATAAATGTCAAACCATAACTAGATCCCATATGACTCCATGGCGTTTTGGAAATTATATATAAAGAGTCTTGTTATCAGACAACTTCACAAATAAAGAAAAAAGATGTCGGCAGTTTAAAGTAAATTTACTTACTTAATTATTTATATATTAATTAATTTATTTATTGTGTTTTCGGTTTGTGAATTGAAATGAGTGAGTAAAAACTTTTTAAAAGGAAGACGCTTGTTGCTTTTTGCTTCTGTCAGAGAGACAATCCTAGCTCATGATTTCTGGATTTTTGTCAGAGCTGCTCTGTAAAACCATTTCAACAGACAGGTCTTCAGGGGAAGGAAAAAACCTGTCCACCGGCTATCGTTTCCCAGGATAAGGGAAATGATTGGCCATCTTGGTTGAGCTTATTTGTATGTAGGCACGCACTTGTCATGTTCTGTGTCCCTTTGTTCCCCAGCTCCTCCAGTTCCCACTCCAGGTTCTCCTTTTGTGTTCTCATAGCGCCCTCATGTGTTCTTTGTCTGCATCTCTGTTGTGTGTCTTAAGTTGTAGCCCCAGCCTTTTGTTCCCCAGTTCATTGTACGTGTGTATGAGTTTGTGTGTGTCAGTATGTGTTTGTGTGAGTCCTTCCCTTAGTCTTTAGGTTTAGTTTTGTGTTTTATATAGTGTCAGGTTTATCTGCCCTCCACTGGTTCTCTTCCCCATCCAGATAACTGTTGTCACCTGCCTTCCCTCCAGCCTCACTCCACACACCTGCTTCCTGTTTCCCTAATTGCTCCTCCCAGTCTATATAAGCCCTCATTGTCTCATTGTTCTTGTCGGTCCATTGTTGTTTGTCAGCGTTGTTCTTTGGTGCTCTGTGTGAGCTTCCTGTCTAGTCCCCAGTTTGTGCTCTAATTGAGCTTTTGTTCTCCTGCTTTTGGATTTCTGGATTTTGGGCTCCATGCCTCTGGATTTATTTTGGTTCATCCTACAATAAAAGGATTTTTTACTTTATATCAACTCCTGCCTCATATCGTCTGGTGCTCTGCATATTGGGTCCTACTCCTCCTAATCAGAACGTGACAGCACTAAAGTGACAAAAATTACAAACAAAAATCAGCTAAACTATTTAAATTATAATTCATAGCCTATGCAGGAGTTTGAATGAAACAATATAATTTATTATCACACATTTTATTACCTTAATATCAAGATATTTTTAAAATATTATAAATTGACAATACATTATAACCCACTTTTGCACCAAACAAATTAAATAAAAATCGCAAAAAATACATTTCTTTCTTAGAGTGGTTGATTTGTTAATATACTCCTTATGAATAAGGGAAAATAAACACATTTCAAATGTGCGTATTTAAAGAAACCACAAAGCCAAAGCTGCAGAAGCTGGCACAGTCTCATTCCATTGCAGCCGCTGAAGAAGCTCTGAGAAGTAATGACAATCTAGTTTTATTTCAAAGTGACACGCGGAATTTCACTTCCCGAGGAAAAACAACTTGAGAACATTTATCATTGTGAAAGAACTTTTCAAATCAAAACTTCGTGTCAATCTACTTAAACAATGACTGCAGGTGTGACAGTTTCACAGTCATAGCAATGCTCTTTAAGCAGAGAACGTTCTTTAACACCTGTGATTGCTTTTGAGATGTGTTTCCATGGGAAAAGCTGCTGAGCAAGGCAGTTTTCCATGAAACCTGTTGAAAATGTGTGTCTGTGCTGCTGAAGGGTGCTGTCTTCTCCTGGTTGTCCTTCCTGTTTGACGTATTTTTTTCTACACTGCCTGAAAGTTTGATATTTCGGCTGATTGTCTTTATATAAGGATTGTATAACCACAATGATTTTTTAAAACCACATTAATCTGCCTTTAATAAAAATGCGCTACTGCTGACGTGACATACGGCTAAAGCTGTTGCTGCTCTGACGCACACCTGGCCTCAGTTTTCAACAAATGTTAGGCATGCGTGTGGGCGCAGTTCAGAACAATATGCAGGATGATTCTTAGAAAGCAAAAGACCTGCACTTGTCTTTCTGCCTTCGTGGGTCAGAGGAGTCTAAAGCTCTTCACAAAGCATTCATCCATTCACACACACACATTCACACGCCAAGCAGCCACACGGGAAACAAAAAAAAAATCTCTCACAAAAGTTGTGTAAACAAGAGATCCTAAAAAGTAATTTGAGAACAAAGACAATAAAAGCAGAATAAAAAGCAAAAATTAAGGAACAGATAACAACCGCAGAAGAAGAAAATAATAAAAGAAAAAAGGAAATTCTAACTATTTGTTTTGTACTGGTTTAATAAAAACATTTTATAAATGTGCAGGATCGGGAGGTCAGACCGCTGCTTATGGAACAAAACTTCACATCCATCATGTCTGAAACTGCAGTTGTCAAATCTGTCTGCAGAAGCAGAAACTGGTTTTGCTGTGAAGTTGGAGTTCTTTCTCAGTTGAACTTTGTAAAATGACAACGTGTACGTGAATTTACTGGAAATGCAGCATTTGTGTCCATAGAAATCCACCTTGTGGTGAGCGGAGGCTCTACTCCACGAAGCAGGTGGTTCTTTCTTTGACCTTTGGGGCGTTTCTCTGCTGGTTACCACTTGAACTGATGTGGCTCCCGTGGAACTAACAGATCTATGTCTAGATTGTTCTGCTCTTTATTATTTTGGACTGTCCTGTAGCCCAGCAGCGACATGGCCTCTTTACACACTTCCTGAACACGTTTGACCTTCAAGTGAGGCAGCATGGTGCGCCACGCCTCAGAGACCTGGGTAGCGTTTCTAGACACAACTTGAAAAGCCTCCTTCACCGTCCCTTTTCCTTTTCCATGGGTCTTCTGGTAGATCCAGTCACTCATCTCTGGAGTCATCTTCAAACCAACAAAGTCATAAATTTCATTGACCTCCTTCTGTGGGTTGTGTACCACGTCTTCATAGCGAACCAGTTTGTAGCGGCCTTTTAGGAATGGAGGTGGTTTCAGGATGGCCCTTTCGTAAATGCCAACGTGGCTCCGGCAGATCTCCTGCATAACTTTGAACTGAGCTTCAACGTTCGGTATGTTTTGTTGTTCCAGAGCTGTTGCCGTGTCTTTTGCTAAGACTCTAGCGGACTCCTCTCTTGACCGCATCACGGCCCGCGGGTCCCGCACCAGATGAACGATGCGGAGATCCAGGTTGGGGTCTTGCAGAAGAGGATAAAGGGACTCCAGCTCAAACAGTCGGGTTTCTTTTAACACCACGTGACTGTATGTGCTGCAGGCCTGCTCCGCCTTCTGCAGACCTCGAGCGTCACATTTCTGACGACACTTAACTTCATTGATGGCTCTGACAGAACAGGCGGGCGGCGAGCACAGAGCTCGACTCTGGTACCACATAAACAAGGAGGAAACACGGTGGTTTTCTGGGAGATAGGCATCCATCACTGAGAAGTCACACTGGTAGAGACTCCGGAGACAATCCCTCACAGCCATCCGGAGGAGCCGGGCTCCAGATTTCTGCACTCTGGTCCACACGTGCCAACCGGGCTCCATCAGATAGAAAACAGACGGGTGCTGACTGAAAACCTGACCCAGGAAGGACGAACCTGATCGCCACGACGACAGCAACAAGACGTGAACTTTTCTTCCTGGGAGGGGAGCGTTGTGAGGACTTTGGGGAAGGTTCCTGCTGTTGAACAGGAGAAGTGCTCCCCCCAGCAGTACCAGCAGCAGAAGAAAGGTGTTGAGCTTTGCTCTGTAGCAAAAATTCATGGCTGTGGACAGAAACACAAAAGGTAAAGTGTGGTTTAGAATCTAAGATCTAATGCGTTCTTTTATTCAACACTAAATCTTTTTCTAGGTGAGTTCAGAGTTATCTGTGTGATATTTGACAGAATATTATAATGTTGGTAGATTATTTAGTCAGTTTATGTGGAATGAGGAGCTGAATATTCAGATGAAAACTAAACGTTAGCGGGAACCATCGCTTTAGTCTGCGCCCGTTTCATCACTTCATTTTTAGATATATCCAACTGAACTAACATTTAAATCCATCTGATTTGTTTTCCATCCATCCATCCATCCATCCATCCTTCCGTCCATCCATCCATCCATCCATCCATCCATCCATCCATCCTTCCGTCCGTCCGTCCATCCATCCATCCATCCATCCATCCATCCATCCATCCTTCCATCCGTCCGTCCGTCCATCCATCCATCCATCCATCCATCTATCCATCCATCCATCCTTCCATCCTTCCGTCCGTCCTTCCGTCCGTCCGTCCATCCCTCCCTCCCTCCGTCCGTCCGTCCGTCCATCCCTCCCTCCCTCCCTCCGTCCGTCCGTCCATCCATCCATCCATCCTTCCGTCCTTCCGTCCGTCCGTCCGTCCATCCATCCATCCATCCATCCATCCATCCTTCCATCCTTCCGTCCGTCCATCCATCCATCCATCCATCCATCCATCCTTCCGTCCGTCCATCCATCCATCCATCCATCCATCCATCCGTCCATCCATCCATCCATCCATCCATCCATCCTCCCGTCCGTCCGTCCATCCATCCATCCATCCATCCATCCATCCATCCATCCTTCTGTCCGTCCATCCGTCCGTCCATCCATCCATCCATCCATCCATCCATCCATCCATCCTTCCGTCCGTCCGTCCGTCCGTCCATCCATCCATCCATCCATCCATCCATCCATCCATCCTTCCGTCCGTCCATCCATCCATCCATCCATCCATCCATCCATCCATCCATCCATCCATCCATCCTTCCGTCCGTCCATCCATCCATCAATCCATCTATCCTTCCGTCCGTCCGTCCGTCCGTCCGTCCATCCATCCATCCATCCATCCATCCATCCATCCATCCATCCTTCCGTCCATCCGTCCGTCCGTCCATCCATCCATCCATCCATCCATCCATCCATCCTTCCGTCCGTCCGTCCGTCAATCCATCCATCCATCCATCCATCCATCCATCCTTCCGTCCGTCCGTCCGTCCGTCCGTCCGTCCATCCATCCATCCATCCATCCATCCATCCTTCCGTCCGTCCGTCCGTCCATCCATCCATCCATCCATCCATCCATCCATCCATCCTTCCGTCCGTCCGTCCGTCCATCCATCCATCCATCCATCCATCCATCCATCCATCCATCCATCCATCCTTCCGTCCGTCCGTCCATCCGTCCATCCATCCATCCATCCATCCATCCATCCATCCATCCATCCATCCATCCATCCTTCCGTCCGTCCGTCCGTCCGTCCGTCCGTCCATCCATCCATCCATCCATCCATCCATCCATCCATCCATCCATCCATCCTTCCGTCCGTCCGTCCGTCCGTCCATCCATCCATCCATCCATCCATCCATCCATCCATCCTTCCGTCCATCTGTCCGTCCATCCATCCATCCATCCATCCATCCATTTTTGTCCAGACTTTCCTCTCCCCAGCCACTTGGGCCAGCTCCTCCAGGGGGATCCCGAGGTGTTCCCTGGCCAACCAAGTGACATAGTCGCTCCAACGTGTCCTGGGTCTTCCTTTAGGTCTCCTCCCAGTTGGACGTGCCCGAAAAACCCCACCAGGGAGCTGTCCAGCCACCCTTCCAGAAAGGCTAGTCACCCCTTGCAACAGTCATTGCATGTCTCCGCACCCACGTAGACGGAGAAGTAATAATTAGGCTTAAGCTGCAGCAGTTGCACACCTACTTAGACTCTTAAAAGCTGGTTGGCTGGGAACTTTCTACAGCTGAATGATGACAAGGCTGAGATCCTCATCTCTGTCCCAGACAAACTGGTCCCCAAAGTCAGAGACTCTCTTGGTCAGCTTGCTTCTCACACCAAACCCTCTGTCAGGAATCTTGGTGTGACCTTTGACCCAGCTCTCACCCTGGATTCTCATGTCAGTTCTCTTGTTCCCTCACATGGCAAAGTTTGGTCCCACTAGGTTATGCTCTGGGTAAAAAGACTCATGGTCTTTAAAAGATCTGAAAAACCTGCTGAGTGGCTTCCTGAAGGAGTGTTCATTCTTGTGGTTAGTCACAGCTCATCACAGCACCTAACAATACTTTCTTTTAGGCTCACTTCATTTCTTGTTTCTGTTTGGTTTCAGGAAGGTGTTGCGTCAAAGACGACTCTCAAGGAGTCGAAGCTGTGTCAGCGTTGCAGCGTGCAAACAGGTTTGGCGGCTTGTCAAAAGCTTTGATGGTTCAAAGAGGTTTCCTCCGGATTGGGCACTCCGAAGTTCTGCTCAAAAACTCACCTCAGCTCAACAAACTGAACAGAAAAACTCGGGAAGTGATCTCAGTTTTACTAATTCCTATGTTATGATTTTCTGGCAAATCACAACATGTTAAGGAGGTTTTACCAGACAAACCTCGGAAACACTCCTTCTCCAGATAAAAGACGCTGATTTCATGGATAAGAAAATCTCAGTGTGTCATGACATTACTGTAGCTTTGTGTCAGGAAGATACGCACGTCTGTACGAGTGTAGATCATGATTAACGTCTCATATCAGACATTACTGATCATAACATATAAATATTTCAGTGTAATAATAATATTCATTTCAACTTCATTGATTTAGGCACAGATTAACCAAATCATTATCATTATTCAACCGTTTGTCATGGTCTGCGTTCTGCGTCTCCCTCATGTGTCCCCTTATGTTCTCCATCCCTCTCTAGGTTTCCCTCATGTGTCTCCTTGTGTGCATCCCTCCTCAGGCCTAGTCCACACGTAGCCGTTTTTTTTCTAAACGAATATCCGCCCCTCCAAAAACTTGCATCCACACCACCTCGTTTAAAAAAAACTCTGTCCACACGTACCCGGATAAATACGTTGTCAAGGACATGCCAGACCTGTAGGCGGCAGTACTTCCCCCGTTCTTAACCTCGTCCTTCGTCTGTGGTCTTCCGCAAGGAGCAGTAATTCCGCTTGCAAAAACAAACAAGCAAAAAGCGCTTGGACAATTGATAAAGCGAGCGCAGCTCTGAGGGCATCCATGCTGTCGGCTAGTGTAAACACAGGTCGCACACGTGATGTCAGCATTTTTTGTCGTGGAAGTGACGTTGCGGACCTTAAAACTCCGGTTTTGCCTGTCCACACGCAGACACCCAAAACGGAGAAAACGCAGATCTTCACTATGGCCGGAGTTTTTAAAAAGATCTGTTTTCGTGTGAAAAAACTCCGTTTTCGTGTGGATGGCAGGCCAAAACGTAGAAAAATATCTACGTTTTGGCAGATCCCCGGCTACGTGTGGACAGGGCCTAAGTCTTCTGTGCCCCCTTTTGTCCCCAGCTCACTCCCGGTTTCCCTCAGGTCTCCCCTAGTCACCCCTCTGTAGTTTTTATAGGTTCAGCTTTTCCTTTTATTAGTCTCCTTTTGTGTGTGTTTTCCTTCTCCACTTGTTAATTTGTCTCCCTCACTCCTCAGGTCATTACTTATTTATCTTTGGTTCTCCTGTGCCCTCAGTCTTTCAGGTTTATTTATTTAGAGATTATTTAGAGATTCATAGGTTAAGGTTTATTCCCTCTGCTTGGTTTTCCCTTCCCATTTAGTTAATTAATCTCACCAATCTCTCCCCACGCACCTGCTCCTCGTTCTCCCAATCACCCAGCCCCTGTGTAGAAACCCTGTCTGCGTCTCAGTGTGTTGCTGGTCCATTGTTTGTGCCAGCGTTGTCTCGCCCCCTCTCTAGGTCTCTTGGTTTTTCATACTTGGATTTTTTGGATTTTCGTTTTTGGCTTCCTGCCACTTTGGATTTCCTTTGGACCATCGCTCCTAATAAAGGATGTTACGTTTTCACTGCTCCTGCCTCGTGTCATCCTGGTTCCTGCATCTTGGGTCCTAACCTCCCCCAACTCAGAACGACACCATTATTGTTCATTCAATCATATGATTATTTACGTATTTCATTTAATCATTCAGTACCCTAACCCTCATTATAAAAGTTTATTCTTTATTCAGAGTTTGAAATCCTGCAGTCTCATCAGAAGAGAGCTTTGCTTGGGAACACTGTGTTGACAATCTCCGTGTCAACACGCACTGCAGAATCTCTGGCTTGTAGAAGACCGAGTAGCAGCTCCACTCGAATAGTGGACTTGTGTCTGTGGGTGACCGGATACTGAAGAGGTCAAACCGTAGATGAAAGATGACCCTTTCTGGACATTACACTGCTAACCATAAAACTGATCTTTCTAATGGGTCGATTCCAAGACCACATCTTCATAAATTCCATTTTATTATGTTTTTTTTTATTTAAAAATGTGCTATAGACAATTTTACCCTTGTGCTGTTTATTACTGAACTTTCTTACCAGTACGACTGTTTTAAAAAGTTAGATACACTTCTAAAGTTAATGTTAGCAGCATGTAACCTTTAGTCTTCACACACTGGTGAAATTTGTTCTCCGCATTTGACCCATTCCCCGGGGGAGCGGTCCGCTGCAGACACGGCTACGCTTGGGAACTATTTGCTGGTTTAACCCCCCAATTCAACCCCTTTAATGCTGAGTGTCAAGCAGGGAGTCTTTGGTATGACCCGACTGTGGAGTCGAACCCACAATATGTTTTTATTCATTTCGCAGACGCTTTTATCCAAAGCGACGTACAATTTTTACAACCTATAGGGCGTGTTGTGATCTGTGGGGGAAACCGGAGTACCCGGAGGAAACCCACGCAGGCATGGGGAGAACACGCAGCTCCACACAGAAAGGCCGCAGCCGAGTTTTATACCTGCGACCTTCGTGCTGCGAGGCAACAGTGCTAACCACTGCGCCACCATGCAGCCCAATATATATAAATTGTAAAAAGAATACAACTTCTTAGTGGCTAAAATTATGAATCGTCAGTGATTTTATACACTTTCAGCTTCAGAAAACAAAATAACAATTAAAATAATAATAATAATAATAATAATAATAATGATTTCTTACCTTTACACCTGCTTTAGTCAGTTAACACCACTTGCCCAGGAGCTTTTGGCAGAAAAGGGATTTACAGATCCACTAAAAAAGACAACGTATGACATAACTCAACAGTAACTAACCAATCAGAGTGAAGAAAATGCTGCTTGCCCAGATTCTTGAATATTTTTTATTGACTGGCTGAAACATAAAGCAGTGTCTGACTGGCCAAAGCTCAAAGTGGGTGGTGACAAAGACGGGAGGTTAGACAAACTCAATACTAAATAACCTAGACACACAGAGGATGCTTATGAAATAAGGTTTCTAAATATAAAGACTCAGACTCATTAAAGGTCCCTCAGAAGTCCAAGTGGAACAAATGACAGGTTTTATTGTTGTTCTGGAGGCATTTGTTCAGGATGTCAGACGATTTGGATTCATGCAGCAGAAGTTTCCTTTTGGCTTATTTGAGCTTCATTAACCTGAGGAAGGTTATGAATTTCATGCATCGGTTAAAATACCATAATACATATTAAAGGAATGAAACCAAATTCAATACCAAATCTTTTGCCAACAATAACTGTTTTATTTCTTAGACTCCATATAACAGATTTTAATGCTCAGGGAGAACTAAATAATCCTTATGAAAAGTCATTTTCGATTTCTTCATTTTGAAGTGTTTAAATTTTGGCTGATCCCACAACATGTCTGTCTGTCATTAAGTTTATTTTTTATCAACGCCAAACCATCAAGTCCAGCAACCTCCTGAAATAGGGACCGAGGTGAAGGAACCAGGCCATCAGCTGACTAGTACTGCCCCACGGTGGAAGAAAGAGTGCATCAGTCCACAAATGTTTGGCACTGACATATCGTTGTTCAAGAAGAAGAAGAAGAAAATATCATTTCTAAAGCGCCTCTCAAGATAAAAATCACAAAAACAAAAAATGTAAAAATAAAAAAAAGCATTTAGAAAATGTTTAAAAATATATTTAAAATGAGCAAAAATAGGCTTTTGTGATTAAAAAATGTTAAGAAAGAGAGAAAGTGAACAAGAAAGAGGGAAATCAGTGGATCCTGAGGAAGGTTCAAACCTTCAACGGATCAGTCAGACTTCCACCATGATGTTTATCTCATTCCTACGCTCCCTTGCAACTGAGCAAAAACATGTCATCTAAAATTTTTTATATTAGATTAAAACATACAATGAAACAATGTGAGAATGAGAAAAACATAAGGTGATTCTTTCACTTTTGTATATTCTAATTTAGTGGATTTATGATTTCTTCCAGCTCTTGGAGAGTGCACACGCTTTTTTTCCTCCTCTCCTCCCCATCTTATCCCAAGGCTGTCACGATTTGATGTGGTAGGATGTGTAGGACCCAAAATGCAGAAAACCAGATGAACAAAGCAGGAGGTAGATGATGAAAAATAAATCCTTTATTTAGGAATAGTCCACAGGCAGGGAGCCAAAACCCAAAAATCTAATACTCTTGACTGAGTAATAAAAACCTCTAGAGGACTAGAGACACTGGAACACTGGCTGCTAGGAACAGGAACAAGACTGACAAGAACAACAAACAAACATTAATGGACCGACAAGAGCACAGAGACAGACAGGGCTTAAATACACTGGGAGGAGCAATCAGGGAAACAGGAAGCAGGTGTGTGGGGTGAGCTGCTGGAGGGAAGGCAGGTGACACTAATCAACTCAATGGGGAAAACAGAAACAGAGGATGGCAAATACCTTAACACAAAACTAAACAACAATTTCCTAAAGACAGAGAGAAGGACTCACACAAACTAGCTGGAGGAGGACATAGCACATACACACACTGAGCTGGGGACAACGAGGCTGGAGCTGACATGGGAGGAAACAGTAAAAGATATCAGACACTAAACTGACACACCGAAAAATGACACAAGAGGGCGCCAAAGGGCTACAACATAAGACACATAACAGGGATGCAGACAAGGACACATGAGGGCGCTAAGAGAGCACAAGAGGAGCTGGGGGAACAAAGGGACACAAGAGGGAATCTAGAGAGGGTTGGAGGACACCAGGAGGCACAAAGGAAGGGGGCTGACGCAGACCATGACAAAGGCTCTTTGTCTGTCTCTGGGTGTACGGCTGCTTTTGCGTTTTTCTGGAAACTGAAATGCCTAAAATGGATCTGGCCAGTTGGTCACTTAACGTGATTGACAACATTTTTTTAACAATGAGAACGGGAGAAGGGGCTCCCGGGTGCCCCTCTGGGACAGATCCAGCTGGGCACATCATGGACTCCTGGAAACAGTGGAACCTGATCTGCCTATCTCAGCTGTCTGTTGAGGACTCTGAAGACGTGTGGATATTCGTGGTGCTGGTGTCGGGTTTCCTGCTCTTTGGCCTAGGAGGCTTCCTGGCTTACCGGAAAATTAACGAGCTGTCGAGGAATATTGGCGCTCTCCCTGAGCTCAGGGATGGATTACACCGCGCTGTGAATTCACAGACTCACATAACTGTCGAGATGAGTCGTAAGCTTGGAACTTTGGCTGAGATTCGTGCGTTGGCACAAAAGATGGATGCCATCAAGGAGAAAGTGGATGGATCAGCACGGATTGGAATAGATTAATTTACGACATTATTGGGATTTTGAGAGGTTGAGGACCAACGGAACTTTAAGACAGAGAGAAAATTATCTCTGTCTGGCCCCAAAACAATTTCTTATCTGGATCTGGTGCCCTTGAGCCTGTGAGGCTACAAACGAATACTCCCCCCTCAGAAGATATGTGGAATGCTGCCGTCACTATGGCAACTCTGTCTCCCTATCCCAGCCTGGGCGGGACTTCGGGCTGTGAAGGCCGCCGAATTGTTCCAGGAGTCACTTTGCCCTCCAAACCCCAACGACCTCCCTCCCCTGTCCAGACTGAGGTGACGTGCACTGCTTATCGTGGCTGCAGGCACTGGTGTGTGGATAGTCCCAAACCCACCACCCCCACCTAGTGGACACTTATATTGTGTGATGTCTGAAGTCTGTTGCATTTCTGTCTGAGGTGTTTTTTGCAGAGCAAAGCTGCCCTCCTGGTGGAGGGTAACTTTGAAGTGCCTTTTTTTCTTCCACCTGAGCCAATCCTCATGTAACCCTCTTATCTCTATTGAGGTAGCGCGACTCGGGGTTGCGAATGACCTCAGTCACCAATTCTTGTCATGTGTCTTGCCCATGTATGTCTGATCTCTGAATTGTGTGTACTGAAACTCTAATTTCCCTCTGGGGTTAATAAAGTATCTTTGAATTGAATTGAATTCTATAGTGTTTTTGTTCCAAATTAACAAGGCAGGGGAAATGGGTGCAGTTAGGATTCAAGAACGATCATTTCTTGTTTTGAACATTTGACCAGCAGGGAGCACACTAACTCTTCAAATGAGCCACTTCCAATCACAAATAGCTGTTTATCATTTTAACAAGTTCAGGTGTCTTAAAGCTATTATTATTTACAAAAAAAAAGTCTTTCTCCACTGTGAATGTTTACTTTATGTGGAATCTGGTAGCATTAAGGCCCAATAAGGCGTTATTTGTCTCAGTGTTTGGTCTGTATGTGCCACTCGTATAATTATTAATTATATATGCATACTGTATGGTGTTGTACACCGGTGAAACTCAAACAGTTAGACTATTGTGCAAAAGTTAATTTTTGTCAGTAATTCAACTTAAAGGTGAAACTAAAATATGAGACAGACTCATTCCATGCAAAGCCAGGTATTTCAGCCTTTATTTGTTGTAATTGAGATGATTATGGCTTACAGCTTATGAAAACCCCCACTTTCAAAATCTCAGACAATTAGAGAATTGTGGAAAGGTTCAATTTCTAGACTCAGTGTCTTTTTATAATGTCTCTTGTCACCTATATGCAGATGATATTCAGCTCCCAGTTCTGAGTTCTATAAACTGTCTGAATTACTAGAGTGTCTATCAGCGATCACCAGCTGGCTAGAAGATAACTTCCTTCAGTTAAACTCTGAAAAGACTGAATGTCTGGTCATTGCCCCTGAGAGCATGCTTCCCCTGATAAGTCTAAAACGTGGCCATTTATCGTCGGCCATCTGATGATTTTGGGTGTTTTTGACCAATCAATGTCTCTTGAAGGTCACTCAAAAATGTTGGTCCTAAACAGTTTTAGTACTAAAGAAATATCTCCAGACTGAGAAGGTTCGTGTCAAAACATGAACTTGAAACGGTTCTCCATGCCATAATCTCCTCCCGTCTAGATTACTGTAACACACTCTTCACATGTTTTAACATAAAAGCCCTCGACCGCCTTCAGTTGGTCCAGAACTCTGCAGCGAGGCTCCTAACTGGAGCAAACAGAAGAGCACCCATCACTCCTATTCTGACGTCTCTGCACTGGTTACCCGTTGACTTTAGAGTTCATTTTAGAGTCCTGACTAGAACTTTCAGGGCTCTACATGGTCAAGCTCCTCCCTATATTACTGACCTGTTAAAGCCTTATGCTCCAACCCGAGCCCTCAGGTCCACACACCAGAACCTTCTAGAAGTTCCAGAGACCAGATACAAAAGTTGAGGTGATCGCTCCTTCCAGACTGTTGCACCCCGACTCTGGAATGATCTTCCTTTATCCTTACGCATCGTTGACTGGAGTCAGGACACACACTCACGGTGAGGCATCTTTTAGTTATTACAGCCCTCGCCTCTGGAGCAGGCTGCCGGAGGATCTCAGGGCCGCAGAGAACGTTCATAGTTTAGCTTTTAACTGATTACTATTTATTGCATTGCTTGTTTTACTTATTTATTTATTTTAATTACTGCTGTGTTACACATTTATGTTGCTTTATTTATATAATCCCATTTTATTGGATATTTTACTATCTGTATTAGCTCTTGTGATTTTACATGTTACGTATTTTAATCCTTCCAGTGTTTCCTCGGTGGAGCCCTCTGCCTCGGGACCGGTGGTCGGTGGAGGCGGCTGGGGCGCTCCTTGGGTGGTGCCCAGGTAGTGGTGGGGTTGCCACCCTCCCTCCCAGGGCGCCCTGTGTCTTGGCTGCTGCCATGGCTCTGCTGCTGTCGAGGCAGATGGCTCCCTCAATGGCGTGTCTTCATTCCCTGTCCAATCTGA